GTTTACCAGTTACCCTCAATAATTCAGTCTCTTTCCTCTGTGAAGGAATTAAATGTTCTGTTTATCAGTTACCCTCAAAGTACAAATAAAGGGTATTCTCTGAAATTATTCTCAGTTTCTTAATTTCTATTATGTTTGTATTTATTTTTTGTGCATAAAATGCATTTTTTAATTTGAACTACAAATGAAATATGTGTACCCTTTCTGCTAGTCAGGAGAAAAGATGTTATCAATACATGTAAAGGTTTGTTGTATGAAAGACTTGTATGTGTGTGTAAATCGATGACAATGTATGTTATTATGTGCTAATACAAAGTATGCTTGAATGAGATTTGCACATAAAGATATCAAACAAAAGCAAAGATCTTGTATTGTTTCTTGTCTGTTTTATTTACTATACCATTTAAAAATGGCTGTCAATATTCAAGCTGGGACACTCCATTATATCATGTGCTTTAAAGGAAAATGTTACAGAATGTAACTTTTTACAAGCAACATATGTATTTATGACAAATGGAAAGGTGTGACAGAAGATGACGAACCAAAATCCATGCTTGAACAGAAAGAATGAAAACTGCATCCATCTTCACTGATCATACATTCCTATATCAATGCCAGCATTAAGAAAATCAGAAAACCAACAGAACAAGCTTACTCTTTCTATGTATCTTACATCAACAACAACCAAGAAATCCAATCATAGTGTGTTATTGTGACAGAATTAACATGAAATGATGATACAATAAGGTTGATGCTCTAATTCAGGTAAGGAGTATACTTTATATGTAACAGTGTTGACCCTCTAAACACAAACCAAGATCAATTAGAAGTTTGTTCCAGATGACCTGGCATTGACATTCGCTGAAGCAGACAACATTTTACCACGGAGTATTGACACTTCTTATAAACAGGTATACAATACTAAGAGGTAATTTAAAAGTAATGTAACTAACTATTGATGATAAGGGTAATTTAGCATCACTCATGGCTACTTAGAAGTGGATGTATCCTTACCACAGGTTATCACACATACTATTCACATGTTTTAATAGTTGGTACTACAGTACTATCGTCTATATTAGTTCCTACCTGGGCTGCTCACATTTACAAATCACTGATGGATTTTAAATATTAAAAGTAACTTGAATATTGGCAGAGGGGAAATGAATTGTTTTCATTTGCTTCTAAGGGTTTTATTAAGAAGGATAGAGTACTTTACAGCAGAACAGTATATGATTATGCTATGTCAAAGTGACACAGCAGCAGGTTCTTGCATTAAAATACACAAAAGTATGGAAATAAAACATATGGAATTGTTGAAACAAAATTTTGCTTATTTGAGACAGATCATGTATACAGATGATGATTTTATAACCTTCAAACATTCAAGATCATTTGAAAAAAAAAATTTAAAAACCAGGAAGAACCAGGACAACATAAAAATACCTCCGAGAGTCTTTAAGGGCAATATTTCTCAAAAAAAAAAAAAACGCAGCTGAGGTACAAAGCCTGACTTTATTATATTAAAATCATGGGTAGCATGTTTCCAAGAGATCAGTTAACAGGAGATCCCAATGGGTTCTTCGTGGCCAACACTGTGTAGTCTTTATTTGCTTTTATAAAAGTTGGATCTTTTCCCGTCTATTCTTAACTCTGTCCTTGCTCTTTACTTAACTGGATTCTAGACACAAAAGTTTAACAAAAGGCAATAACTCTGTAACTGTGAGGATGTGGGCCTTGAATTTGGTAAACTGGCCATGGCCTTAGTATGGCCAAGGTATACAACATAATGGACAGACCAAGCAGCAACTATATGTTCCCCCCAAAATTTTCGGTGAACAAACAATATCCTCAATACCCCAAACAGCACACTGTTTATTGCCATCCAATGAGGTTGTTGGTGAACTGTGATCAGTATAAAATGATCTTTATCTTTAGAAAAACTTAGGCATAAAATATAATTAGGGGCCATAACTCTAAATAAACATGTCATTGATTAAAATTAAGTACATGACACTTAGCCTTCCGAAGGAGTGTCAAGGAAGTTATGTGATATAAAATGATACTGATACACACACCCGTTTGAAGTGTACAGCACTTGATCTTCTCAAGTTCAAATGGTAATTTTACAAGCAAATTAAGTGAACATATGTGGAATTAGCATTTAGTTATGATTCCAACACAAAAATTGTTGACAACCAGACAGCATACAGCTGTAACAACAAACATCGTTGTGATGATGTAAATCAGAATATCGTTGCTTAAAATTCAACAGAACAGACTTCATCGAATTATCAAGAAATCTCACTTTTCTTATCAAATACCAGATGTTGTAATATCTGAGGCTGGTTTACGTCTGTCTATTGTAACAGCAATCATTGTATATGAATTCACCATTATCTACCTATTGATCAAACACACATCTGCATTGAATTGCTACCCTGTCATCAATATTTACACAATATTTTGTTACTTCTGACACGTTTGGAATGACAAACATCACAAATCAATTTTTACTTCTTTCTGTCTCTCTATTTTAAGTGCTTGCCATGTCATATATCAAGACATTGTCATATATCAAGATATTCTAAGTGCCTGTCATTGTCATCTATCAAGATATTCTAAGATATTCCTTTTCTGATATGCTTCAAATGACATTCATTACAATGGTATTTAATTCATGTACAGAGTGGACTGTAATATGTATCATTTCACTTGTCTTTGTCTAACATTCAAGGTGTTCCTGCTATTTCTCAAAATCAACCAAAATTACCAAACAATGGAGCAATTAAAATTTCTATTTTTGTACACTGGGTTAAAGAATGTCTATTCTATAATGTTGAATTTAGTTGTAGTACAAGTACTCTTCAGATATGGGTGGCTGCTCACATAGAATGTACATAATCTAAAAAAGTAACAACTTTTAATTCACTTGCATTCATTCATGCGTGAAAAATTAATGGGAAAGGAAACATGAGTACTTATGACATCAAATGTAAAAGAATTTTACCTAAAATGAATATAAATCCAAAGAAAATCATCCAAAAAGTATTGATCATGTATGACTAGTTTATAAACGTGTCATTTCAGCATGGTGTGGCTGGCCATACAAATTCAAAATACTGGTGGAGATGTTGGAAATTGTTGCAGCAGCGTTTCTATTGTTTTTGAAGTCGTGAAATATATATCTTTGTTGATAGCTAAGTATCAACATTAGTGGGTAAATTAAAAGCAGATTACGAAAGGAATATCTGTTACCTGTAGTCTGCCACTGATTTATAGATTAGGTGCAAAAGAGATTTTATTTTAATTCCATAATCCCATCCTCACTCTAAGTCCAGATTGAATGGTACAAAGGACACATGTATGTAGAGACAGACAGATGAATAAATTAAACACTTTTTAAAACTGTTTGGTAGCTGGATGGGGTGGGATATACACCTGTATACCTTAGAGCATTTTCTTTTTTGATTTTTGAACAGCAATGAAATTTTCTGTATGACTTGGCTTCTGAGTCGTCACTTAAACCGTAACAGGTACAGGATGTATGTAACTTAATACAATTCAGTTGATACGGGGTGACTCTTTCTGGATACAGGATTTGTGATCACTTGAAAAGTTTATGACGCAAATCATGTAGGAAAAATATTATACCACAATTTTTTTGTAACCTGTACACACAATGTTATATACTATACAAGTGTACTGAAGTTGAATACTTTTTCCATTTCAGAATGCATGCGAAATATATTTACCTATATTAAGTAGATTTAGTGTTTAATTGATTCATTAACAGTTTAAGTTTAAACACTAAGACAAGAGATCCCAGAGAGATCTTGGTGCCCACCAATGTTTGATCTTTATTTGTTTTTTGAAAGTTTGATCTTTTCCCTTCTTTCTCTTAAAGCGATAATAATCTCTAAATGCCAAATCTAAGATGGTCACGTGGAAGTATTTTTGTTTTTCTGATCATTCCTAAAATCAAATGGACACAACTAGGGACTAAGGGTAACCTACACATGAAATTTGAGAGAGATTCAATAATGATCACAAACAAAAATAGGTGAAATCCAAGATGGCCGCCTGTTGGCCACTTTGCTTTTCTGATCAGTCCCAAACTCTAACCAACATAACTAAGGATCTCGAGAAAACTACACATGAAATTTTGAGAAAGATCTATGCAGTAGTTCTCTAGATATAGCAATAACAATCTTTCAAAGTCAAATTCAAGATTGCCACCTGTCAGCCATTTTGTTTTTCTGACCAGTCCTAAAATTAAACAGGCAAACTAGGAACAAAATAAAACAATGAATAAATTGCTTTGCTTACATTCCATGCATAAGGATAACTTTAGTGTATGTCAATTACCTTGGATAATAAATCAGTACCAAAGCTCTACATTTTTGTATTTTTATTTAAGTCATTAATCTACCACTCCTTCATTCACTTCAGGTCAGTCTGTAACCTACATCAATGAGGAAATCTTCCTCAGGCCAGTCTCTAACTTACATCTATGAGGAAATCTTCCTCAGGCCAGTCTCTTACCTACATCTATGAGGAAATCTTCCTCAGGCCAGTCTCTTACCTACATCTATGAGGAAATCTTCCTCAGGCCAGTCTCTTACCTACATCTATGAGGAAATCTTCCTCAGGCCAGTCTCTAACTTACATCTATGAAGAAGTCTTCCTCAGGCCAGTCTCTTACCTACATCTATGAGGAAGTCTTCCTCAGACCACCCTTTAGCATCTACGAGAAAATCTGTATCATGTGATGCTTGCTTCTAGTTGACTTCTTACACAAGAAATCACCATCAGAATAGCTCCCAGCAATCATCATTTTACTGGCATGAGGTGGTGACATAACTGTCACCCCTGAATACATTGGTAATATCTAATTATGATGTTGTACCTCAGTACAGTTAGTTTTGTTATTTGAAGATACACTATGAGTTAGAAAGAAGACAGCTAGATATTATGAACAATGGTTAGATGATACAAACCTGCAGCTCCTGAAAGTCGTACTTCAGTCAAAGTCACAGAGAAGCTTGAATCCATCTCCAGAAAACCATCACCAGCCAATGGAATATCTGTAACTACCTGGGCCTGGCCATCATCGAACGAGACAGTGCCTCCACTCTTGGACAGCAGTACACCTGTCTGTAGCTGATCAACATGAAAGGTAATCATCAGCTGTAACATCTTCATTGATATATACCATACTGCTGATCATTTTCAGAGGTCAAAACTGCCACAATTTTCTTTTAAAGCAATCAAATTGTGTCTTAATGAATTAAAATTCTGCGATGTGTATGTAAAATGACATCTAATATACACATACCATGTCTCATTATTTCAGAGTTTAAATTTTCGCTATCACTTTGATGTGTCTCATTATTTCAGAGTTTAAATTTTCGCTATCACTTTGATGTGTCTCATTATTTCAGAGTTTAAATTTTCGCTATCACTTTGATGTGTCTCATGTTTAAATTTTCGCTATCTCATTATGTGTCTTCAGAGTTTAAATTTTCGCTATCACTTTGATGTGTCTCATTATTTCAGAGTTTAAATTTTCGCTATCACTTTAATGTGTCTCATTATTTCAGAGTTTAAATTTTCGCTATCACTTTAATATGTCTCATTATTTCAGAGTTTAAATTTTCGCTATCACTTTGATGTGTCTCATCAGAGTTTAAATTTTCTTTAAATTTTCGCTATCACTTTGATGTGTCTCATTATTTCAGAGTTTAAATTTTCGCTATCATTTACTGTACTTTAATGTGTCTCATTATTTCAGAGTTTAAATTTTCGCTATCACTTTAATATGTCTCATTATTTCAGAGTTTAAATTTTCGCTATCACTTTAATATGTCTCGTTATTTCAGAGTTTAAATTTTCGCTATCACTTTGATGTGTCTCATTATTTCAGAGTTTAAATTTTCGCTATCACTTTAATGTGTCTCATTATTTCAGAGTTTACATTTTTGTTATCCCTTTACTGTACTGTGAAATAGCAGAAATATCAATCCTTTGAAAAGGATTTGCTATATGGCATATAATCTCAGAACTGATATTTTAGTTATTTCCTAAACTAGCTAAAATCAATGGATAAGTCTAAAGATAAATCTGACAGTTGGATGAAAGCTGCAATACCAATGTAAGTTCTTTTTTGGATAGCCAAAGAACTAGAAATTTCATCAATTCAAAGAAATGACTGGAAAATCAAGTACTTCATTTTTTTTAGTGTATTTTCTTTTTGTTATGTTTATTGTATTTTGTGATATGTTTTAACCAGGGACGTAGATAACAGATCAACATCCCTGTTTTAACTTATCCCTTTTGTTGTCATCAATCAGTGAGATATAGAATTCATATGATAGTTCACACACAAAGAAAGAAGTTGCTGACAGAAACTACCAGCCTGTATAAACACGTTCAATTAAAGAAGGAAATAAATGTCAGAAACCAATAAATTTCAAACATCATCTGATCAACATTCAATACTGGCACTTTAAAACTATGATAATTGTCAATCAAGAATGTAATAAATTTCTTCCTGATTGTCAATACTTTCACCAACTCAATACAAAAATATCTGATAAATCCTTTGAGTTCATTTGAAATCTTTTACATTAGTGTTATACTGTGTGGGGATTAAGTGGGTCAATGTTTTAAGATTTAAAATCCACTCGTATTTCATGTTACTTTGTACATTTAACATATAAAGGAAGACAATTAACACGGTTAAATATAGATATAAATAGATACCTGATACAATCATATAACATATACCCAGTTAAATGAAAACACTATCAATTTTATCCTGGACTGAATTAATCTGACGTTACACCGAGGGAAATCGGCCTGATGCTAAAGCCAAATCTAAGAAATAATATCCCAGAATATTACTGTGGTTTTTAAAACTGTCTTTACCAATTTCTAGCAGTTCTTGTTTCTATTATTCTCAAAATCCATCTCTCTTACTTAATATCATCCAATAATTTGAAAGTTGTGCTATAAATTGCTATATTTTGCTTAGATTTGTGTGTCCTGTGATTCAGTTGTATGCCTTATTTGGTTATTATTTACAGCTATTGTAATTCCTGAGAAAACACAACAAATATTCTAGTTGATATGAAAATAAAAGATGAAAATTATTATAGCTAAAACACTGTTTTATATAAGAAAATATGTTGTTTATTGACGGTATGTATCAAACTAATGATGAAAAATATGGAATAGAAAGATATTATTGTCATTTTCCAAATGGATGTACAAGAAAAATAAATACTTTATTTTTTATTTTATTTACCTCGAAGTGGTTAAACACCAAAATCTATATATTTTGTCATGATTTAAGTTGTAAAGTCTGTGATCTTATAAACCAGTCTTGGTTACTTAGTGCGTAAACTGATCGAACATAAATTTTAAAGATCTAACAATCTTATCAATCTTGTTTCTGGTCTTTCCTCATTGTGAAACAAACAGATCTACAATTCTAAGATATTAGGAAAATAAAGTGAATCTAAGAGTCATTAAGATTCATTAGTCAGTTTGAAAATCTGTAAAGTTGTTGCAAAATTTCTAGACCATTTCTTCAATATAACTAATGAAGTGAAAGCAAATATCCATGAAGTAAGATACGTATCAGTTTTTACTTATACTGAAAATATTCTGTAAAACAAGAGGATGACATTAACTTTTCTTACATCAATGCAAATGATTGTTTCAATCATGTACAAGTCATCAGGTAAGAATTTTAACTACAATCACTTACCAGGTCATACTTTATCTGGAATGTGAGGATGATATTGCCAAATGTGCCAGCATAACGAGTGAAGTTGAGCCTGACCGAGCGACTAAGGTCAGCTGGATTGACAACTACGGTCTGGTCATTCTGCACTACACCAAACAGGCCATGGGGATTGTCATTAAATCTGGAAAAAACAATGTAAATTTAACATACCAAAAGCATGTGTCTGTCAAAGATTAATCATGTAGCAATACAGATACAAACAACCAATCTATCAGTCAAATGATTCCTGGTCTTTAGTTACTGCTGCACCGAGAACTACCAGTTTTCATCCCAGTAGTTTCCTAATTATCTACACAGAAAGGATACATTTGATTTAAGGTGAGTTGATCTATGAACATCATTATGAGCATCTATTAGGATGGATCTTCAAATCACTGAAAGACATAACTTCAGAAAAGTTATCCCTATATCCAGTAGAAGTAAACATGAACCCATGTTTTGAAGAGCTACTGGTTGTCAGTACCATAAAAAGTCAGGTAAAATCAGTGACAAGATACAACCTTTATTTACCATTATAGTTGTACCATGGTATTTCTAGGCCCTAGTTTTTCATTGAACCACTGACTAAACACTGAATTACTACAGTGATCATAAAGCTTACATTATTTTGAAATGAAATATGTAATATGGTAAAAATAAAGTATGAAATCTGACAAGTATTTTACATCATTAGACCTACCTGATACTAAAGAACGATATGTTGTCTGCTGATGCTATCTCGGCTCCACCCTCCACAGACTTGAGAGATAGTGTGTATCGCTCTGTCAGTTCAGGCACATCATCGGGCAGAACTTGTATGACAATGGAAGAGTCTCTCTGTCCTTCTCCGATCACAATGGAACCATTTCGTGGTTGAAAGTCAGCTGTCTCATCCATTGGCCCGGTTATGACCCAAAATACCTATAAAACCAACACAATCCATGACCATGGAACCAATTATAGGACGGTATTTCTCAAATTATCTGTAGAAGTGATACACAATCATTTTTGAGATCAAAAACTTTCCAAAGTTGTCCAGGCCGCTGACAAACATTTAATAATGCACAGTAAAACAATTCAATAGACTGAAGCTGACTGTGTCCACTGCACTGTTGATAAAGGGATGAAACTACAGCAGACACCAAGTTTCTTACCTGTATACTTCCCACAGTGCCTGTGTCCGCTCGACGACTGACAGGGAAACGGAGGTCCAACATCCCTGTCCCCTCTGGCTCATCCACCACTTGTTCAGACTTAGCCACACCCTCAAAATGAAGTATTCCATTAGGGTCCCCAAACTTTTCAATCTGTGGATATAAAATTTGAGAATCTGAGAATGTTTAGTCAAGATATAAGATTGTTGAAAAATATAGAAGTTACAAGGTCAAAGTTGACTGGACCTGTCATTTAATATGTTTCAGGATGTATATCATTTGAAGGTCACAATGTGTTAACATAGTACAAAATTCCATACAAAGTTCACATATTAGACATGTTGAGATTGATTATTACAGCTATCAGTCACATTATATTTAATATTTATCATAATGATGATCCTTCCACTATGAAAAGAGCTAAAAAATATCTTCTGAACGCTTTGTTGACAGACACAATATGTAAACAGGACTAGACATTGTAACAGTGACATTTATGGTGTCTCCAGATGACTGTTTCATTCAAGGTCACTTTTGGAGATTACATACGTTTTTAATTCACAATTCCAATGACAAAAGCTTTTACCGTTAAGATAACTTTTCCAGTAGATGGTCCAATCTCTCCATCGCCAATCCCAGCTGGGAACCCTTGAACCTTGTAAATTTCAATGACAAATGTCTTTTGGATTTCCCAGGTGGTGTAAGGCTTGACGTAAATCTTGAAGGTCTTCATTCCTGCCTCTTCATCTGCCCAGATTAGGGAACCTTGTGTTGTCTGTGGACCGTTACCCTTGTGACTAACATCATTGGTTTCCACCAAGACATTGCCAGGGTTATTTGGGCCGAGGATTCGCCAGAACACCTTAAGAGCAAAAACAAGTAAATTCACAGCCCCATGAAAGGTTTTTAACATTTCTATAAACATCATCAGACTTTATTAAGTCATAAAATAAAACAATTTTTAAGATGAAAACATTGCATTATCTTAAAATCACTGACATTTTCATCTAATGGTTGCTAATTTTGCATGCTATGAAATAGTTTATTTTCTCACAAACATTGGAAATGTGTCTGTAATTGGTTGGAACTGAAAATTATAGTCAGTTTATGCATATCTATTTCCCTTTACAAGTACGCTTACAGTCTGTTGTCCAGTCAGTCCTCCTGTCCTCTGAATAGCCAAGGTCACGTTGACTTCATGGTCTGGGTTGGGCAGCGTGATAGCCAGCTGACTGCTGAAGCCAAATTTACCATTTGGAAAATCAGACTTGAGAATGGTAATCGTAGCAGTTGTGGCATCTCCTAACTTTGCACCACCTGACAGGGAAAAATACAAAATCTATTACATTCATTGTTAAAGTGAACCTTCGATGGTACAAGTGTCAAGATCTAAAGTGGTTTCCTTGGCTACAGTATTCTGTAACAGTTGACAATTCTGTAAAACAATTCCCATCAGGAAGGAAAAGGGCATCAACAGAGGACAACGAGAACCCTGAGATATTATCCGACTATATAGAATTCCAGTAATTTTAAATATGTCCATCTTAACCACATCAAGAACTACCAAGGTATAACAGTGACACTTGCAAAATTACAGTAATATTTTATTTTGTAAGTTTCTGAAATCGAACGAAAAAAAAAAAAAAAAAAATATTGATAAAACCCATCCTTAAGGTGGAATCAGTTTGGTTACAGGATCTAATGTTTTGGTAGATGCAGAAGAGTGTTATGATATAACTATCCTTTTCTTATGTAAGAACATGATTATGTAACTAAAACACTGCCAAGTCTCCTTATAGTCTCATCTTTTATTCATGCACTATTGAAGCTGAACTGAGAAGCTATAAAGGTAATAAAACAAGCCTTCAGCCTCGTAAAACAAAACTTTGTCTATAGAACTGGGTTTAAAGCACATTCAGTGACCTTTCCATCTGACCAAAAAAATCAAGTAGTATGCTATCTAAATGTAAAATTTTGTATATACATGTTTGTACAGTCATTATATCAATACATCACACAATGATTCAGTTAAGGAATGAGATGATGGACTCAACTGAACTCTACAGAAAGTTATATCCAGTTCCACCTTTGTATTTGTTCCTACATGAAAATATAAACTAACCATCCTCCAATATGACAATGAATAGGTTCACAAAAATGGATATTAACAAGAGACCCATGTGCTGCAGGTGACTTCGCTTTTAAAAATCCAAGTAGTGTAAATTAGTAGAAGTGGTAGCAGGAAAAATAAAAACAATTGTAAATTACAGTCTATGCTGAATTTATAAATATTTCTACTAGGAAGGAAAATTACTTAATTATCTACTGAAAAGAAAAGTGACTGGATTATCTACAGAAAAGGAAAGTGACTGGATTATCTACAGAAAAGGAAAGTGACTGGAAAAGGAAAGTGACTGGATTATCTACTAGGAAGGAAAATTACTTAATTATCTACTGAAAAGGAAAGTGACTGGATTATTTACTGGAAAGGAAAGTGACAAAGTGACTGGATTATCTACTAGGAAGGAAAACTCCTTAATTATCTACTGGCATAGTATGTGACTTGGTGGTATCTTCTCAAACAGAAGGTGACAGATTCTCTATATGGATTGAGCATTGCTTGATTATCTTAATTGGGAAGGAAGGTGTCTAATACACCTACTGGAAAAGAAACTGGCTGGCTTTTGGAAATTTTAATAAAGACATTCAAGTCAATAGCACTTTTCAATACCAATCTAAATTTAGATACAGTGGAGTCAAATAATGAATTTAACTACATCATACAGCTGTTTTGCCCTTCTAAGACTCATTTATCAAGCTGATTACCTAAATTTTGAAGCCTAAGAGACAAATGAGGAAAATAAAAAATGTAGATTCTTAGGGAAAAGAAATGGACAAAATACATTTGAAAATCTCAGTTAGTCTGTTATATTTCATCACTGCTCCACATTGTATGGTCAGGAAGTATACGACAAATAATAAAAAACGGCCCTCGTTCTTTAATTACCATGCAGAAAGTAGAGAAATAAAGCCCCACCTTAAAAGAAATAATCTTTCTTTAAACAGACATTGTGTTACAGTTCACCCCTACCACACATCATAAAGAAGTTTATTTACATCCATCTGTGGAAATTCCAGTTAATGTACACGGAAGATGTAACTTTAGGAGGAATGAGGCTATATAATACACACAAGTGACTACAGGTAAGTCATAATCGAGGCTTACCTGGTGTATTGTATACCTATCAGGTAAATACAGAAAACCCAATGTCATTACCTATTTACGTCATTTCCATTTCTGTTGTGTTATGACGTTTCTCCTTATCAGATATATTTACTGTTTTCACAAAACTTAACCACAAATGACCAAAATCATGACATTAAAATCTATTTTTATCCTAACTTCAATGAGATTTAGTTTAACTGTATCAAAATTTTTGTTACATGGCAACTCATGTCTGAAACTCACAAAGTCATCAGTCACAATATCGTCATCTGATTTTTAGGAATTTCTCTGCATAATACAAGATACTGCTGAACTCACTTTTAACCAGTGTATCAACTCCATAAATCTGTAAACTTGTTGACACAAGATTTAGAAGAAAAACAAATTAATACTAGACCAACACATTGTCAATAAGCTATTTTCAATTCCAATGTGTAAATGAACTTGTTTATTTTTTACTTTCGATGACATTAAACCTAAGTCAATAAAAATGTTTTTGTAAAAAAAATATCTTCCTGACCTTTTCAATAATCATGCATCACTTGTAAATGATTTGAAATTAATGTACAAATCACATTCTTCTAGGCTAAATTATCATGATGTTTTTTTGCATGGAAGAAATACACTTAATCTTGTAATATGTTCTTCTCGATACTTTTAGAAATGTCTAATTTCAGACTCAAAGCTTGTAAAAGCAAACCACAACTGTATGTACTTTGAATTGCTAACCTGTGACAATTTACCTGCTAATCTTGTATCCATTCTAACTTTTGATAAAATGAAAATAATCCTATATACAGACATGTGGCACAAAAGTGTAGACTTTTACACAGATACATGGTTATAGCATACTCCATGAAACTGTATAGTGAAAAAAACAAGTATATTCCAGTTTGCAAAAGATAATAGACATGAACGTCTGATGCTGAAATGTTTTATAGGGTTATGAACATACCTACACAACAAACTTTAATTGATTTTAAACTGTTGAGAACATACCTAAGTACTGTTGAGAACATACCTACAGTACTGTTGAGAACATACCTACAGTACTGTTGAGAACATACCTACAGTACTGTTGAGAACATACCTACAGTACTGTTGAGAACATACCTAATACTGTTGAGAACATACCTACAGTACTGTTGAGAACATACCTACAATACTGTTGAGAACATACCTAATACTGTTGAGAACATACCTACAGTACTGTTGAGAACATACCTAATACTGTTGAGAACATACCTACAGTGCTGTTGAGAACATACCTGTTGTTGAGAATATACCTACAATACTGTTGAGAACATACCTACAGTACTGTTGAGAACATACCTACAATACTGTTGAGAACATACCTACAGTACTGTTGAGAACATACCTACAGTACTGTTGAGAACATACCTACAGTACTGTTGAGAACATACCTACAGTACTGTTGAGAACATACCTACAGTACTACTGTTGAGAACATACCTACAGTACTGTTGAGAACATACCTACAGTACTGTTGAGAACATACCTACAGTACTGTTGAGAACATACCTACAGTACTGTTGAGAACATACCTACAGTACTGTTGAGAACATACCTACAGTACTGTTGAGAACATACCTACAGTACTGTTGAGAACATACCTACAGTACTGTTGAGAACATACCTACAGTACTGTTGAGAACATACCTACAGTACTGTTGAGAACATACCTACAGTACTGTTGAGAACATACCTACAGTACTGTTGAGAACATACCTACAGTACTGTTGAGAACATACCTACAGTACTGTTGAGAACATACCTACAGTACTGTTGAGAACATACCTAGAGTACTGTTGAGAACATACCTACAGTACTGTTGAGAACATACCTACAGTACTGTTGAGAACATACCTACAGTACTGTTGAGAACATACCTACAGTACTGTTGAGAACATACCTACAGTACTGTTGAGAACATACCTACAATACTGTTGAGAACATACCTACAGTACTGTTGAGAACATACCTACAGTACTGTTGAGAACATACCTACAGTACTGTTGAGAACATACCTACAGTACTGTTGAGAACATACCTACAGTACTGTTGAGAACATACCTACAGTACTGTTGAGAACATACCTACAGTACTGTTGAGAACATACCTACAGTACTGTTGAGAACATACCTACAGTACTGTTGAGAACATACCTACAGTACTGTTGAGAACATACCTACAGTACTGTTGAGAACATACCTACAGTACTGTTGAGAACATACCTACAGTACTGTTGAGAACAGAACATACCTACAGTACTGTTGAGAACATACCTAATACTGTTGAGAACATACCTACAGTACTGTTGAGAACATACCTACAGTACTGTTGAGAACATACCTACAGTACTGTTGAGAACATACCTACAGTACTGTTGAGAACATACCTACAGTACTGTTGAGAACATACCTACAGTACTGTTGAGAACATACCTACAGTACTGTTGAGAACATACCTACAGTACTGTTGAGAACATACCTACAGTACTGTTGAGAACATACCTACAGTACTGTTGAGAACATACCTACAGTACTGTTGAGAACATACCTAATACTGTTGAGAACATACCTACAGTACTGTTGAGAACATACCTACAGTACTGTTGAGAACATACCTACAGTACTGTTGAGAACATACCTACAGTACTGTTGAGAACATACCTAATACTGTTGAGAACATACCTACAGTACTGTTGAGAACATACCTACAGTACTGTTGAGAACATACCTACAGTACTGTTGAGAACATACCTACAGTACTGTTGAGAACATACCTACAGTACTGTACATGTGGAGAACATACCTACAATACTGTTGAGAACATACCTACAGTACTGTTGAGAACATACCTACAGTACTGTTGAGAACACACCTACAGTACTGTTGAGAACATACCTACAGTACTGTTGAGAACATACCTACAGTACTGTTGAGAACATACCTACTACTGTTGAGAACATACCTACAGTACTGTTGAGAACATACCTACAGTACTGTTGAGAACATACCTACAGTACTGTTGAGAACATACCTACAGTACTGTTGAGAACATACCTACAGTACTGTTGAGAACATACCTACAGTACTGTTGAGAACATACCTACAGTACTGTTGAGAACATACCTACAGTACTGTTGAGAACATACCTACAGTACTGTTGAGAACATACCTACAGTACTGTTGAGAACATACCTACAGTACTGTTGAGAACATACCTACAGTACTGTTGATAACATACCTACAATACTGTTGAGTAACATACTCTACAGTACTGTTGACTGAACATACCTACAGTACTCCAGGGCTGTTGTGTTTTGTGTAGAGAACAGGACTGTCTGTTTCCCATAGCTTCCTCCTAGTCTCACCAGCGGGATCTTTGCCATGCCGATTTCTTCAACAACTAAGCAAAAAAAGAAAAGAAAATCATTTTAAGTTTCCTAGGGTTTGATATATTTTAACATATTTCTTTATCAATAAGCACATATTCGTCACAGCAACAAAAAATGGCAAGCAGTCCTATCTCTGTTTGTGATAGAAAACAAGACCAAATCCATAACAAAACACTCCCAAACCCAGGAGGTATTTGTAGGTGAAATATGGCAACTGAAGGTCATAGAATAGAAAGCATACCACAAAGTAAATAAAAGGGAGGTAATATAATTAAAGGGCCCTAACTCTTTATGTGGAAGCCAAGGGCTATAACTCTGTATATTGAGGGGATTACACTATTTTTCTGTTCTAAGAAGTATGAAGTACTCAGGATACAAAAGGAGTACTAATTGAAATTATTCTGTGGCTAATCAGTAATTAGCTTATTTAAAGCTTATTTTCAAGCTGGTCACAAAGTTGCCGCAGAATGCCTTGAATTGGCACCCCTCCTTTGCAAGTTTTCTATGTGAAAGAAAATATCACATTCACTGATGAAGACACATAGACTGACGGACTGACACATGGGGTGTCAAATTTTTTACATTGTTTTCTGATAATATCTGTTAAGCTAAACCAGCATATAATTTTACATCTGAAATGCCCTTTGAAGGCCATGAGTGCCCAATACATTATAATTATACATTATTGCACCACAATATTTTCCTCTCAGTAAAAACATATTTAGTCAGAGTATAATAGTAAGAATAATTTGTGTGGGGATCAACAGATTCTGATAATCTATTGACTGTAACCCACAGTTAATTATTTACAGAGGTTATAGAGTGATATTTCTATAACGGTGAAGGTAATATGTAGAACATTACACAAATACCCCCTTATCACACTGATAGAGGAATAATGTACAGTGATATTTCTATAACGGTGAAGGTAATATGTAGAACATTACACAAATACCCCCTTATCACACTGATAGAGGAATAATGTACAGTGATATTTCAAAGCTGAAAAGGTTTAATTTTAATTTAAAACAGTGTTGTAACACATAACAAATACTTACTGGACATTTCTCTTGCTTCAGTGTCAAATTCGATAGTACCCTCAGCATTGTCATTCTTGTTAATGACAATAGTTTTAACATTGATGGAGCCAATAGCTGGAGCCATGTCGAGTTGTAGGTCTCCAATCTTCGTGTAATTATTAGTGCTGCAAGGTACACAGGTTTGTATGTCAAAGATTAGCATCAGAACTAGAGAATACAATTCCCAGTGTTTAACCACACTGGTCTGATAAGATTAGAAATTGAGCTAGCCTAACAAAAAAATCACCAAAGTGGTTTGTCATCAAAAGATCCTAGTGACCATAATATGAACTCCATTGATAAGTCTGATCTTTCCTTTTCTTTTCTCTTAATTATCTGTTGTCTCGACCGTAATATCAGTGGTAAATGGATTATAAGGTAAAATGATTTAAAATCGAGTGTTATTTAACTACATGGAAACCATTTTGTGGTTGCAATAAGTCTAAAAATATACCCTGATTGTAACATGTCCCCAGACGTAAAGTTTGGAAAACTTTAGGTCACCATATGATGGTAGGTTTAACGTCTGAATTATACTTTTGTAGACAATATTTTACCTTGGACTGCGAAGCCAGGTGGAGGTTAAATTTACATAAAACATCTCTGGACCTTCAGGCAAGTCATCTTGCTGTACTCTTAAGGAAATCACTTTCTTGTCATCCCCGTGCTGGAATTCAAGGGTGCCTGCAGCTGGGAAGAAGTCCAGGATGTTCTGAGCTGTGCCAGGTGTGGTAGTATAAGATACCATCACCTGACTGTCCAGTCCGGAACGTCGTACCACCATTACACCGAACTGAAAGTAACATCACGATTACTTGTTGTATCTATTATGTTGATTTTGGTCAGTTTAGTTCTTCTGAATGTAATACAACATGCTTCCTTATACTCCTCCTTTAGATATTTTCCCATTTCAGGGAAGATTTTTTTGTGTTTCGATGATTCTTGCATTTTACAGATAATGAGAAAGTTTGAATTATTTTGAATTTTGTAACCTCTAAGGAAACTGCAGCAATCCTATAACTAGTTATTTTACTCAGAGTAGAATCCAAAAAGAAAAAAATATTTTTACATATTTTAATCTAAATCTAAAAACCTTTCGCTAAGGTATATATATGACATTGTTGAACAACCATATCCTTCTATTCTGTTTAACTTAGAATGTTAGTAAAAAACTTCAAGGAGTCAAAATATCTGACCCACATCTTCTGAAACTTGAAATTCATACATTGTAATAATACATAAACATGAAACAACAAACACAGCAGTGATCAATACCCTTCATGCTTGGGAATAGAATTCTAGTACAATGATCCTATTACCATAAGTATGAAATGTTCTGTAAGTTAACTGATGCTGAATATCAAATGGTTACATTTAAAGCGTAACAAAAACTATAACACAATGCTTTCAGGCATCGAAACATCAGGGTCTATTGCCTACTCTCATACTCTGGCAATAAGCACATTTCTGGAAATAAGTACACCTACATCTAGTGCTATTTCATTGTCCTGTAATAAGCCCAATCCCTGAGATTATGTTTGTGGTTATTACAGGATAATAAGTACAGCCCTGAGAATGTCCACTTCACTCCCACCTAGCAAGCTCTAACGGTAACATTTTCCTACCGTCAACTCATCCTCTTCCACTAGTATAGTCTCTGGGAGTGTGAACTCAAATAGGCCGTGTGGGTAGTCGCTGGCGACAAATATGATGTCCGCAGAGAACTCTCCCGGAGTATTGCTGATAACAGCACCACCTGTGGCAGAGTTGATCTGCAGGGTGTACATCCGACGAAGTTCAGCTCTGGTGTCATCCTGGGCCTACAGAGATACAGGTCTTACATCATCATCAAAAGGAGAATGTGTTAGATTTCTTTCTTCATTATGTTAATGACCAATATCTCTAACTCTTACAATCACACTGAACTTACATGTATGAAAAATTTTAAATTACAAATACTCACATCAAATTGTAAATATTTCTTGCCAGTAGTAAGATTTTTACATAATAAACTTTAAAAAGTAAACAACAAGTCTGCCTGATGGAACAATTCTATAAAACATCCTGATATCTGACCTGTAAAGTAATGGTAGCTTTCTGCTGTAAATCCGCAAACTGTACAGTGCCTTCAGACTGTAGAAAGGTAGACGTCTCCCTCGGAGTTACTGACCATGTGACAGATATGGCCCCAAATATACCCTCTCCCCTGGAGATCATGATCTGAAGCTGACCATTGTAGCTGGGACTAGACTCTCCAGGTTCTCCTATGTAAACTTTCCTGAACTCTGGGAGAATGCTTATGGTGCCACTAGCTCCAGGATCAGGGGAGATAATCACTGTGGAATCACCTTCACTGTGCGAGATGTCAGCATTGTTGTCAGCAGTTACCAGGGAGATGTGGAACCGCTCTTCACCCTCCAATACAGAGTCCATTTTGGTCCTCAGAATGATTGGTCGAGTCTTTTGTCCCTATAAATCAACTTCAGATTATTTTTAATGAACAGAAATCTTTTTTCATGGTGTTTCAGTTTGATTAAATATAAAAACTGTTCCCTAAGAAATTGGTTTAGATGTTATCACCTGGTCCTTCAATAAATAAATATACAAAACAACACTACTTGATCATTTCAATCTCTCCTGATCTTGTGTTAAAAACTTGTTCTCTTTACCTTATCATAACAAATCATGTGACACACATGTACTGTTAGTATAAGTTGAAATAACTTGTTTCGCAATTGTTGTGAAATAAATAAAGTTAATAGCTTTTTTATAAACATGTACTGTGAGAAACATCAATATGAGCATTGAAACAGGGAATTAAAAGAACCTAATATACTGTAGTATAGAGCAGCAGATTTATATGCAAATGGTTCCTCTATAAATATAAATATATTTCACCTGATCAAACTGGATGGTGCCTGACAAGGGATCATCAAAATCATAGGCTGCCTCCGCACTCAGTCTCCAACGTACATTGACCACACCCTCTGACCCTTGTACTCTCTCTATCTGCAAGGTCACCTCACCCTCAGGGTCATCAACTGACCTTGACTCCTTCACTGTGATCTGCAATGAATAAGAACAGAAATGACAAAACTTCTTATCTTGTACAATCATGATGGATATCATTAGATTACCAAGTGTAGGGGAGATAACTGCTTTCAGATTCAGATGTAGGAACCAATGGTATTTACTTGTCTTATCTTTTTTCTTCCATGAATACATCTGTTAAAACTGAGGTTTGTTATGTCCTTTATAGATTTACTGTAACAATTTAAATGTGAGAGCAATGATACTAACAAGCATCTTGTTACACAAAGTCTAACATAATATAAATTTTTATTTTCATGTGCAAATTACTTAAAACTGAATATGAATAGAGCTTTTATCATATGATCTCCTTGTTAAGTTACTTTCTTAATAAGCCTGAAGTGACCATTAGGCTCAAACAAGTTACTTACTTCTGGCAGCACAAACCTTAAGAGACCATTATGTACAAATAAGTTACAAACCTCAGACTGCATAAATCTAAAGAGACCATTTGGAGAGTCGTTTTTTAGGATGGCCAGTCGGACACTTCTGTTGGGTCCAAACTCAGAGCCACCACTTTTACTGATAAGCTTCACATCAAATGTCTGTAAAAACATTATTAGTTTTACCATGTTATTTATAAATTGTTGACCAGAGGTTATAATTTTTTTTCAGACTGTTAACTACTAGTATAGGTAACGCACACCTTACATTTTTTTTGTATGTAACAGTGCAGCCTTAAAGTTTAGTTGTAAGATGTGGAGGGAAAACATTTCTGATGCTTCAGACTTATGAAGACAAACAAAATTAAGCTTTAAGTATATGACACAAAAATAACAGACTCTCACATTGATGACTAAGTATTAAACAAAGCATAGCTGAATCAATTACTATAACAATACATCATTATTATCTTTTTGTTTTCCATAATCTTTTTGCCATCTTGTAACACTATTCTCAACTTTTAATTAGCGTACAAAGTATTATAGTCCAGCCTAAAAAATTGGTAGATTCCTAACCATCTTATATATTACTTACCTCAGTACTAGCACCCTTCATACTGGTCTTTTGTCTGATGCAGGTGACAATGTAGTCATTGAAATGTCACTTAAATCTTTTACATGTTGTAATATAAGAACTTCTATTCTATTGTAATTGCCAACTCCAAGAAAATGTTTCAAAAGAGAAAGAAGAAATAATTACAAATTTTCAAAATTTTAAAAAAAGTGAAAACAACGTGTACCTCCATCGCCTCTGCGATAGTATCATCCAGTATGTAAATAATGATGTAGCCATCCGTTTCTCCATCCTCCATACGGATGGTGCCACTTGATGGTGAAAAGTCCAGTATATTTGCCTCCCTTGGATCTCCTTGCCAGGTAATTGTAATAGGGCCGAGGGTACCAACAGTGCGACTGACCTTCAGCTTCACACTTGTATTCTTTCCAAACTCCTCGTAAGTGTCTATGCGACCCTCAATGTTCTGAAATAAGTCAGACATTACATTTGCTTGTTTCAGATATTTCATTTAATTATTTGTAAATAATGTGATCAGGTTTGTAAAAAATAAATCTGCCAATCCACATGGCATTAGACATTTTTCTATGGTGGTGACACTGTAACATTATACAGAAAAAGAAACCAATTTATTACATGTTCAACAAATCAAAGACAGTTCTCTTAGATGTTTACCTAAAAACCCTTGGATTTAAGATAAGCAGACACTTCCATTTCACTTAAGATTAAATTCAAAGATATTACAAAATATTTCAGCCTGCTTATTTGCTATTTCTGCTGACTTACAGTAGTAACATTAAACTGCACAATGCCACGAGCATTGTCATTCTCTTGTATAGTGATAGACAGGAGGTTTCCTGGGACATTCACACTTGGCTCTGCTCCAGGAGGTGGGTTTGGTCCTGCTAGTGTTACTCCAGTGATGTTCACAAGGAAGGACTCGTCACCTTCAGGCAAATCATCCTAGAAATGAAACATACACTATGATAGTCCTTTATCAGTAAGCTAGGATAAAACATGTACTTCAAAGAGGAAAACATTTTCTCTAAAAACAGTAAAATTTCATGTACCTGGTAATTTGTTTTAGTGAAAATTCAATCAAAATAATTCATAGCATATGTGTAGAGCAGTGTCAACTTAACTTATTGTGTAGAAGCTAATTATCGTAAACTCCGAAGTATGAACAATAATGTACTTTAACTTGATCGGTTATCTCATTGTAGAGACAGAGAGAAAATGATGACATACCGAACCAATTTGATATAAACTCAAAATCCAGGTAATGAGAGTAAGATATATGAACGACAAAAAGATTTACATGGAGACCCCTAAAAAAGAAGACATGGAGAAGATCAGGTGTTCTGGAAAGGTAAGCTTTTTTTGCTCTATCGATAACACTTGCCAAGTAAATCTTGGTCAAGTACAAGAAAGATATGTTGTGTTTTACTGTTAGATTTACATATTGCCAAGCATATCCAATTTACTGTGTATGCATTCAAAGTCAAGTGATTGTATCAAACAAACAGTCTCACCTGTTTGACAACAATCTCTATTGGTACCCTAGTGGCATTCTCCTGAAGGATTGCCACACTCTGCTTGGCCACAAAATCATCCCCTGACACTGCCCGTTTCTCCACCTCCACACCTGTGTTAGCAGTGGTCCTGTAAACAAAAAACAAAAAAAAACGGTCTTTATTGTCTGCAACTGAAGCGAAATGGCAAAATAAATCAGAATAGACAACTGATCTCAAAAAGAAGTTTTAACCTGATCCAAGTAACAGTTTTCAACAATGAAATTTCGAACTCTGCAAAATATGTGTATGTCTTCTTTTGATTTACCCTAGAAGAGAGATAACCCTTCAAGTTTTGGTCTCGCATGACAAAATCATGGATCAAGTAGTGTACCCACAGTGTCTATCAATACAACAAAACATGATAAAACTATACATACTGGTATGCCACCTGAAGCATTCCCATCATACCCTGCTGTCGCAGGATGTATGCGACTACTGTAAAGTCAGTTCCATTGGGTTCGCTGACGTACACAACTCCTTTTTCCCACAGCACCACACCATAAGGCGAGTCATTGGCCTGTACTATAACTGCAGCCACATTGTTGTCTCCTACAGCGAGGGGAATCAAAAACAGATCAGCATGGTCCAACAGTTTAATCAACACAACTGAAGTTGCATAAAATTTTAGTTTGAATGCTTTTAAAATGTACATTTAATATAATTAGATGTAACATACATTCATTAGTGTTTTAATTGTATTACAAAACATAATGAATGAGAATTTACTCTGTTAAAAAATTACACTTATCTGAGTTACTTATAGAAACGTAAAAAGTATTTCTTTTTTTATAAAATAAATTAACAAATCCATTTCTACAAAAGTAAAAATCAAATAAAATATTCCAGAAACCTAACATGAGGTAAAATAAAGATTTTCTGATTAGCAATGTGCTACAGAACACTAACCTATAGTAGCTCCCCTGCCAGGAAGATTTGTACCAGACTCAATGACCTCAGTCAGTCGTACATATGTCACCTCTGGTAGTTCGGCAAGATTGTCATTCAAAATGGTCAAGCTTATGGTAGCTACAGACTGACCATCAGTAAATTCAACCTGTAAAAAAATGGTTATCACCATATCTAATAAAAAAATGAGAATATTCACATAATTATTAATTGAATTACTAATTTGTTTTTTGTAATTAAGAAGTCATTTTGTATCTGACCAATTAAAAGTTAAATGAAATTCTGTTTATAATTTGAGATTGGACTGACATTAGGTAATACCTCAATAACAGACAGTGACTGTTGTAATTTAACATAAAGTTACCTGTCCCTGTAGTGGTGTGATGTCACTGAGGCCATCCTGGTCACCGGATGCCACCCACCTGACCACTACACGGCCAAAATAGCCATGTTTTCTGATAACATTGACTGCGATAACATTGTCTCGTCCATCCTCCTCCTGTACTCTAACTTCCAGGGAATCCTAGAAAACATCTAAAACTAGTTACCCAGTCTTATATTTAAGTAACATAGCTGACAATTACCATGTTCCCGTTGCTCATTAATTTACAAACAAGAGGAACTTATACATTTACAAAGTTCAGTTGTTTGGTGACACTAGTATAATATTTTTCATATTTGTAAAAAAGTGTTTCAAAAGAAGGTAAAAAGACTGAATTTGATAATCCATTCCATGAGAAAAGTTGCATAATTCTGAATTCTGAAAAAAGACTAAAATCATTAAAAACTCTGAGAAATTTTGTTTTTCTTATTAAAGACAATATACCTTGTAGAGTTAATTCATACAATTTTTATTATGATAACATTCTTACTGATGAGTAAAAATCAAAATGTTACCATGGCTATCTCAATGATGCCGTGAGCATTATCGTTGGAGAGGATGTTAATGGTGAGCGTATTTTGTGGACCAATGTCAGCACCACCTGATGGGTTGGTGAGGGACACAAAGAATGTCTCTGTGTCCTCAGGAATGGTGTCCTGCAGGATGATGACAGATGTCTGTAAGAGGCGGCGTCCAGGTTCAAATGTCATTGTCACAGTTCTGTAACACAGTATAACAAGAGCTTCTATATAACAAAGTATTATTTATACACTTTGTCAAAAAGTTCTAAATATAAAACAAGAAGCCCAAAGGGCCTGTATCCTTCACCTGGTATTGCTTGGCTGAAATTGCTACATTAAAACTATGGGAAAGGGAATTCTAAATATCCAAGAACACAACACAAAACATATCTGTTTTGCTATTGGACCCCAATCCTCTGTCTTTAGAGGGTCAGCCAAACCATTCATACTTCAGACCAATGTATTCCTACAAAAGGAGTAGGATTTAAAGAATTTATTTCCCCTATTTAGAACTAACCCCTGAAGCCCCAGGGAGCCTAAATCCACTGTTTATACAACATTGACTACTCTTCACCCAAGAATGCTTCGGACCAAATTTGAACCAAATTCAATCATTCCTACAGAATGAGTAGGATTTTAAGGAATCTGCTTTATATTCAATATTGGACCCCGCTGTTCATGCCCTAAGGGGCAGAGACCCACCATTTATATAAAATTGACTACACTTCATCCAAGAATACAAAAAATCCTTGGAGCCATATGAGCTACAAATATGTGTGTAGGAAATTAATCCATCATATTTTCACTGTTTACTACAAATTAATTTTTTAATTTTTTTAATTCAAAAGTTTTGAATACTAGGTAAGTATGTTTTACATTCATGATTACTTTAACCTTAGATTTGGTGTGAAACAAGTCCAGTGAATTGTGTTTTTTCAAACACAGTCAAACTGAACACTATATGAGTTCATTATAAAAATAATCAACCTAAATAAGGATGGATTAAAATTTGAACCATCAGGAAAATCCACTTTTACTGTGGTAAGATAACAACAGTCCACTGATTTGGTTTTCACTACATATCATGATATGTCCAAATCTAGTCAGCATCTTTACAGTCCCCTATAAACACACTGTCATAATTTCCCTTGCACAAAACTTGTAATATGAATGGTTTTATCTATAATTTACCTGGGTGCGAAGTCACTGTCTTTGACCTTGATAAACTGGTACAGTGTTGCTGAGGCCTGAGGATCTTTATCAGCTACCAACATCAGTGTTAGGGCCCCAGTAGTCTGGGGGATAATCCAGGGGTGAAAACTCAAGGCAGGCGCCCCCATCCACATAGACACAAACTCCTGGTCCTGTACATCCCAGTAAAACATTTCTGAGTTACCAATACCATTGGCTACTAGAAGGTACCCTGTAAAGAATAGAATATCTCCAGGCTATCAATACTGTTCACCACTATAAGGTACCCTGTAAAGAATAGAATATCTCACTACTATAAGGTACCCTGTAAAGAATAGAATATCTCCGAGTTATCAATACTGTTCACTACTATAAGGTACCCTGTAAAGAATAGAATATCTCACTACTATAAGGTACCCTGTAAAGAATAGAATATCTCACTACTATAAGGTACCCTGTAAAGAATAGAATATCTCCAGGTTATCAATACTGTTCACTACTATAAGGTACCCTGTAAAGAATAGAATATCTCCAGACTATCAATACTGTTCACCACTATAAGGCACCCTGTAAAGAATAGAATATCTCACTACTATAAGGTACCCTGTAAAGAATAGAATATCTCCAGGCTATCAATACTGTTCACTACTATAAGGTACCCTGTAAAGAATAGAATATCTCACTACTATAAGGTACCCTGTAAAGAATAGAATATCTCCGAGTTATCAATACTGTTCACTACTATAAGGTACCCTGTAAAGAATAGAATATCTCCAGGCTATCAATACTGTTCACTACTATAAGGTACCCTGTAAAGAATAGAATATCTCCAGGCTATCAATACTGTATCTCACTACTATAAGGTACCCTGTAAAGAATATCTCCATATCTGTTCACTACTATAAGGTACCCTGTAAAGAATAGAATATCTCCAGGCTATCAATACTGTTCACTACTATAAGGTACCCTGTAAAGAATAGAATATCTCACTACTAGAAGGTACCCTGTAAAGAATAGAATATCTCCAGGCTATCAATACTGTTCACTACTATAAGGTACCCTGTAAAGAATAGAATATCTCCAGGCTATCAATACTGTTCACTACTATAAGGTACCCTGTAAAGAATAGAATATCTCCAGGCTATCAATACTGTTCACTACTATAAGGTACCCTGTAAAGAATAGAATATCTCACTACTATAAGGTACCCTGTAAAGAATAGAATATCTCACTACTATAAGGTACCCTGTAAAGAATAGAATATCTCACTACTATAAGGTACCCTGTAAAGAATAGAATATCTCACTACTATAAGGTACCCTGTAAAGAATAGAATATCTCCAGGCTATCAATACTGTTCACTACTATAAGGTACCCTGTAAAGAATAGAATATCTCACTACTATAAGGTACCCTGTAAAGAATAGAATATCTCCAGGTTATCAATACTGTTCACTACTATAAGGTACCCTGTAAAGAATAGAATATCTCCGAGTTATCAATACTGTTCACTACTATAAGGTACCCTGTAAAGAATAGAATATCTCCGAGTTATCAATACTGTTCACTACTATAAGGTACCCTGTAAAGAATAGAATATCTCCAGGCTATCAATACCGTTCACTACTATAAGATACTCTGTAGATAATAAAATATCTCAGCGTTACCAGTGCTGCTGGCTACTAAGAGATATCAACAAAGTTTTTAAAACTAACATGAAATTTGTTTTCCTTTTTTCATGCCAAGAATGACATTTACGTACCCATATCATCAGCACCAAGGAACATAGTGAGAGTCTCCACCCTGTATGTCTGTAAGTCTGAATCTCTGAAAAACCTCTGGGCAGTGGAGTCCCACCGATACACTGTGGATGTCTGCGGACTACTGATAGCGTCACCACGATTGTTACCAAACACCAACAAGTGTAGCGATCGCACAGCCAAGTACGCCACATCCACAGCGCCCTCGGTCCTCATTCGCTGATGTTCTGCAAACATCCCGTCAGTTCCAAACTTGTATACGATAGAACTGTAAACCAATTAAAACTGAATTAGAGTTGATTTAATGATAATTGCTGTCACGTGTATTGATATTTAGACTGTGTTTCATTTTTAAGAACATCACAAAGAAGATCAATTTCTGACGACTAACACAAGAATTGTTAACAGCACAGACTTACTCCACAATGTAGGTTTTACGTTCTGAATCATAGTAATTGGCCACAGCCATATACATGACCCCTTCCAATTCAAACACCTCTACAGCATGAGCTCCTAGGTTACTGACAGACTGCCATGGAGATGCTGTAAACATCTTCGTACTTTCCTCCCACTTAAACACATCTACATCTACAACAGTCAGTCCATTGTTGTCGATGGAGTTAGCAAACACCAGATAGTGTTGGTTACTGTAGGAGAAGAACTTCACATCCCGGGCACCCTTTGTCACTAGATCTTGTATCTGAAATTAAAATTAACAATATTTATGGTCATGACAAAAAATGAAAATACACAACAGGAGACAGTATTCATTCACAATTCATTCACTGGTTGGGTAGCACTTGCCATTCACTTTGGCAATTGGGGGTTGTAATACCCAAACAGGTGTGAAAAGGAGGGGTCACCTACCTGACCACATGAATTTTCTATAGGCATTCCAGTTTTCTTCCACAGTAATAAAAAGGATTGTTTCACAAATACTGTAAAAGATAAAGTTCATAGTTTTTCACTCACTTACCACAAACAGGCTGCCATCAGTGTTGATTCTGTAGATCCTAGAGGTAGTCTGGTGTCTCCGAATATTGCCAAGATTTGCTACTACCATGTAATGGACATCACTGATAGAGAATACAGTGGCAGCTGTGGCAGCGTCTGTCTCTAAAGTCTGGCAAAGGAAAGACAGCAGGTACAAGCATTATTTCTCTTGTTACAAAAGAGTTAACATATATAAACCTCTTACTACAAATAGTGTGGTAGGTTATAAATGATAACTGAAAAATGATAGAGCAGCTGTTGGGATTTTATATGAAACTTGTAAAGGTGTGCCCTGGGCTTATTAAGAGGGATTAGTTAATTGTCAATTAACATTGTAATACAAGCAACAGAAACAACTGGGGTGTGAAATCCTCTGATGACAAGAAACAACATAAGAAACTGATGATATTTTAAAACTGATTATAAGAAAAAATCCAGTCTGTTTTACAAAAAACCAGAGATCACAAAGTAAGATCAAATTAAATTAAGATTTTTTTTAATTCTTATAATTTCAAAAGTCAGAAATGAAGATGAATATCATCATGATGGTGCTTCCTTCTGATTTGGAAAGGCATGGCATATCAACCATGTAGACAAATCATACAAGAAGTGTATTAAAAGTTACTAGCTTCTGCTCTCCCTCAGGTTACCCTACCTGTATTGGTATGAGTTGGCCCATCCATTTGAACAGTGTGGTTTGATAAAGGCGGTCCACATTGACAGGTTCAGAAGTCCCATTACTGCCAATCATGGTGGTCAGCTCTCCAACCCTGAAATTTGTCAGCATCAGCAGATAGTGTGTTCCATTGACCGTGTAGGTATACCAAGACTTCACTTGTGTCGTAGGAATCATCTGATAGGGGGCAAGGGTCACTGAGTCAAGGTCAGAGATTACGACTGCTGTGTCGGGTCGCGTAGTAACATCCACCATTGCTGTACCATCAGCTCCCTGGGTCCTTTCCACATCTATGTATATTATACCTATGTTTTCATCCATGGATATACTGCTGTTCCTGAAATCAGTCCAATAAAACCTTTCTAATCATCCACTGATATATCTCAATACAGATCAATCTCTCTTCCTAGCCTATGACCTCTACTGACCTACACTAAGGTAACAATGATTTTTTTTCATTCAAAGTTGTCCTTTCAGTTACTAATACTTATTTTATCTCTAGAGTACACTGTCGGTAGACAGTAATACTGTTAAGTAGACGCTACTGAAGCAGTAACTTCAAAGTGAAGTCTGACTGGATTACCTGGTACCTTGGTTGTACATCTGATTTAGACTGTTGCTTACAGCAAACATGCGATTTTAGACACATAAATGTAATAAGCAATTCACACATTCATGATAATTGCTATTTTGATAATATACAGAATTTACAATTAGCACCATCATATTTTAGCAGAACATCTTCAATGCCAATAGCACTCAAACATGGTTAGAGTAAACATTTACAGTAAGCTAGTTTTTGATGCTGGAGATGTATAGCTGCATTTGATTGTTGGACAAGTCATTCACTACACTGATTTTTTATTACCTTGTTCCTCTGATGTACAGCTGCATTAGTCCATTGGGCGAGTCGTTCGGATTGATGATGACCATCCTTTCCAGATAACGACCCAGTACAGCACTGTTGTCTGCTTCCTTAAGCTTCACTGTAAATCTTTCCAACTGTTCCGGCTCACTGTCATCTAAGGCTATCAGCTCAATATACACAGCACTCTATTGAAAACAAATACAGTATACTGTAAGGTAATGTCAGTCCACAGAAGGAAGGTGTAAATGACACTCTGTAAATCACCTTATACAACAGCATATTACAATACAAGATCCTGTAATGGCAAAACTGAGCCTCTACACTCCAGTTTCCTTCTGGTAAGAACAAACAGTAGCAGATTTTAGTCTGATAATACAGACAATTTAAAAGTTATTAAAAAGCTCATCTCCCACAATATTTTAACATCGACCAATTCAGTGTTTTAAACCAATGTGGTAGTAATTATATGCATATCAAATAGTACTTTTGATTAGTAAAGTAAATGTCGAAGCATACTTGTTTATCCTGAAATGTGGCATATCCCTTCACTGGAGACAGGTCATTGGTGTTATCTGGAAACTCAGGAATGATCTCAAAAGGCACATTGACCACACCGTAGACACCTGGACCTCTGACAACCTTTAGCCTTGCTATACTGACAGAGGAGTTGTCTCCTCCTGACTCCTCAATTGTTATACTTGCATCTGTGTCAAATGACACTATTCCACTAGAGCCGTCATTGCCCAAAATTGTTACAGTGGCTGTGGAAATATGAAAGGTTCATCTTGTCTTTTATGTACAATTATACAGGAAAAAAAGCAAAGTTTAAGAAAGTTTATCTCAGTGTGTCCAGAAATGTTTATCTCAGTGTGTCCAGAAATATTTATCTCTGTGTGTCCAGAAATGTTTATCTCTGTGTGTCCAGAAATATTTATCTCTGTGTGTCCAGAAATATTTATCTCTGTGTGTCCAGAAATGTTTATCTCTGTGTGTCCAGAAATATTTATCTCTGTGTGTCCAGAAATGTTTATCTCTGTGTGTCCAGAAATATTTATCTCTGTGTGTCCAGAAATATTTATCTCTGTGTGTCCAGAAATGTTTATCTCTGTGTGTCCAGAAATATTTATCTCTGTGTGTCCAGATATTTATCTCTGTGTGTCCAGAAATGTTTATCTCTGTGTGTCCAGAAATATTTATCTCTGTGTGTCCAGAAATGTGTTTATCTCTGTGTGTCCAGAAATATTTATCTCTGTGTGTCCAGAAATATTTATCTCTGTGTGTCCAGAAATGTTTATCTCTGTGTGTCCAGAAATATTTATCTCTGTGTGTCCAGAAATGTTTATCTCTGTGTGTCCAGAAATGTTTATCTCTGTGTGTCCAGAAATGTTTATCTCTGTGTGTCCAGAAATGTTTATCTCTGTGTATCCAATATTTAACATTAAATATCCTTGTTCAAACACACTGAAAAATAATACTCATATCCATCCTGCATGAGGCAACCATAAATACCCAGACTCAAGACTTAGATAACTGCAGGTAAATTGAATAACATTTTTACATAACTAATTACTTACACTAGGGTTGTCATATCACAGGGATTGGACTAAATTCAAGATAGATACAAGTATACAATACTGCAACTGTTTTAACAGATTTTTAAATTTCATATCATCTTTGTTTTTATTTATTTTTTTCATTTTACCAATCAAGTGTCAGAATTTCAGAACTGGAGATAAGTAAATGTATCCACTACCTGTTGCCATGACATTTTCTACATCAACATATCCTCATTATTTGTTGGATCCTTACCTCTACTCTGGTTGCCCATCTGTAGCCCATTTGTAGGGTTAGACAAGATGACCTCAAACGTCTCGTCTGGTTCAGGTATGTCATCGTTAAGTATCTCAATCAGGATCATCTTATTAGACTCTCCCTTGGCGAAGAACAACTCCTGAACAGAACCAGGGACAATTAACATTAACCATCTCAACATAACTTCAAACTTTGATTTAAATCATCTAAATATTTGTTGTTCACTCAATATATCTGTACGAAATGAATGTAATGAATGACTTTTGAAAATTCAACATAAATACACCAGCAAGTACCTGATCATGTTTGTCTACAAATATATAGACAGAATAGTGATTGTAAATTTTGCCGGTCAATTTTTGTTTTTAATTCCAAACACTTCAGCTAACTTTAACTGTCAGTACAACTTACCATTAAGAAAATAACCCTGATTCCAAGTTAAACTGTTGCAATTTCTTCAGCATTTATAAAATATTAAACACCATTATTATAGCAATGATATCTATCACTTTTCTAATTTAATTCAATATGATAAAGAAAAGTTTTTTAATTGACACTTTATAAAATATTGAAAAACATCAAATTTGTGCGAAGTCTAGAGAGGTTCTTTTAACTGTTGGTTGTTTTACTAATCAAAATAAGAAACAGTTGAAGATACAGATAACAGCAAGTGAGACACAACAATGTCCTACCTGAAGTAAGAGTGTCCATCACCAATACATATCCTGGATCCAAATAAAAATAAAGTTTGTGAAACAACATCCAACATGCATGTACAACTGAAACTGACCATCACCACAGAGGCAGTAACCAAAACTTCTAAAATTCATAACCACCTATAGAGGGTCATTAATTTACCAAAGAGTTGCTACCCATGGGATTGTAACCATGGTAACAAATATAGTAACTATTCAGGTGTGTACCTAAAGCAATCAGTGAAAGTGTAACCACTTAGAGGTGTAACCATGGTAACAACAGACAGAGTAATTACAAGAGTCATAACTAAGGCAACCAGGGTGTATAACCACTTGGGGTTGTACCACTAATACCACAAGGTTATTATAATAGAGACTGTAGCCGCGGTTACCACAGGGTTCCTGTTTACCTGAGCAAAATGCTGTGGTGGCATTTCTGTTACAATCTATGTGAGTATAAAATAGTACAAGGTGAAACAGGACAACATACAGTGTGTTTAACATGTCTTAAACAAAATAGGAATTAACGATATCATGATTCCAAATAGGAATTTTTTTATATTGATATTGTCAACAACATAGCAATCGTTGATTGAAAGATAACATCATTTTGACAGAATTTCTTAACCCTTTAAGGGTCATTCTATTGTAGAAAAAATATTTCTTTTGCTACAAAATATTTCATATTCAATTATATTTTCTTTTTCTATGCAAAAAGTGATGCTACGCAAATTTTTTCTAATTGATACTTAATTTTTTCCTAAATCAATGCATAAAATTACTAACTGTATTTTCCTAAATATCTGTGAGTCAGCCAGAATAATGAAACATAGAAATTCATCCACATGCAGAAATAATATAAAACATTCCAAAATTTTGTGAAAATATGTATACCCTGATGCCATAGTATGAGGTTTTCTGGCCAAGAGAATATATATGTAATTTAATCTACACAATCAGTGCCTACCTTTGGGACAATTCTGTAATCAGTCCCCTGGGTCGTGCCTTCAACAATGCTCTGAGCGTAATAAAACACGGACACATTTCCAAATGTCCCCTTGTCTCGGAACACAGTCAGTGAAATATTTTTTGTTATTTCATCAACAGTAACACTACAACAAAACAAATATTACACTTTATTGGACTTAAATCTTCAAACAACAATCAAATCTTTTTACTCCATATAGATTATGCATTCAAAAAATATAATTGTAACAGCCATGTATGAGTTTGTAGGAGCAAGGCACAAGCCCATCCAATATGTGACTGAATATATCTACCTCAGCTAATAGGCTTTTACAAATAAACCAAGAAAACAATACATACTCTACTGAGTCTGGGGAGAACTTGATAACACCTTTGGTTCCATCATTGGCATCAATTATCACCTGTGCCACAGTTCCAAGGCCAGCTTCAAAAACAGAATATCAAAATTCTTAGACTTTTTCCATAAATCACTTAGTATCAAACAGAAACTCATCAAGCATCCTGTATATATTGGTTATGGTAACATCAAGTCTGATATAAATCACATTGAGCATCAAATAAATTATTTTTCAGAATAACAGTGAACATTTACAACGAATGGAAGGAGGGTTAATGAACTAAGAGAAACTCAGAGACTAAACATCGACTGATATTAATTAGATATCTAAATTTTTTTTATAAAATTTAGAATTGTTTGGATGAAAACATATTGCAATTTTTCCTTACATTAACATATATGTATCAAATTCTTTGATGTATGAAATATTGGTAAACATTACCAAGTTTGGGAGGAATGGCAATGTTATCTGTGTCCACAAGTGTTACACCAGTTAGGGATACAATGAACACTTCATCTACTTCTGGTAGATCATCATCTTTGATCTCGACCTTAATTGCAGCATCAGAGATACCATCAGCTATATCCACATATCCCTTGATGGGAACAAAGTCCTCATTCACTGTTGCTCTCACTAGCTCTTCACTGGTCGGGCTCACTGACCCTTCTGTGATCTCGTAGGACACTCTCACCATTCCTATCACAACAAATTTTCACTGTTTTCAAAAGGTCTGACTTTCATGACTTTTATTTTTTTCATAAGTATTATCAGGCTAAATATTCTGTGTTTTGGGTTCCTCCCTTTCTCTAACAAATCATGTTATAAAATAAGTGTAAGAAATATGCATGATAGTAAGATCACACTAAATACTTAATATGCTTTTATTGCCAATAAATTCAAATTAATAAAACTACCCCCCAGAAAATACATCATGCTACAGAATGTTTGATATCAAATACCTGCATGTATTTTCAAAAAAGAATTGAATAATGTTGTACTATTACAGATAGTAGGATGATTAAATGCAGTTATTTTTGTCAAGTTTTCTACAACAATAACTGTTAATCAACATTATTGGAGTATAATCTTTGTTGACTATTTTCACAATGGTGATGCACAATACCTATTGCTCCAAATTTCCTGTCAACCTGTAGACTCAGAATGTTTTCAGCCTCCTGAACACGAATGTTAAGGGAGGTAGACGCAAACTGAAGGACTCCATGAGGATCATTACTACCCTGTATAGTGATGGCTGCCTCGTTAAACTGGGAGTCAATCTTGGCCTCTCCTGTTGGTCCAACACCTGACATATAACATAAAAGTGTATCATTTTATTACCAACTCATTTAGATATCCAAGACAAAATAAGTCTACAACATCGTCTTTATAAATTTGTCAGTTTAAACCAGGTGTACAGTAAAAATCACCAATACAGACCCTCAACCAATTAACATTCCTACTTAAATACTGACAAAATGGTAATTGATCAGAAAATGCAGCTGCAAACAATTATCAATGCAAATGCGAAATGGTCAGAAATTGTAAATACTTCAGGCTTAATGATCAACAACAAATGGAAAACGGAAAACGGAAAACAAAATGTAACAGATCAACAAATTATGTATATAATAACGGAGCCAGTCTCAAGTATAATATCACTGACTGATGCAGACATCGCTATACACATATTGTATACCCATAGGACCATGTGATTGCATTCATACATCGTTCATAAATTTTTCACCAAGCATATGCATAGTAATGATAGTAGTGATTGGTATAAGGTCATTATCATTTTTTTCTCTCTGAGGAAACATACATTTATGACAATCATAAAACACCTAATACAGAAACAATAACTTAGTTTGCATAATTGATGAATAAAGAGTCTTCATTTGATTGTCATACATATTACAATACATTATAACAGTACAGATGGTGAGATACAGACTGGAATATAATTTTTGGGAGTGTTATGTTGATTGATGGGTTTTTATTATCACAGCAGTACAGGTGCTGAGACATAGACTGGAATATAATTTTTGGGAGATATTTTGAAGGTTGATGTTTTTCAGCAATGATGGTAAAACTTTGACCTCATTACCTTCAGTCCTGATATCAGTAAGGAAGATCTGGTATTCTTCGTTTGTTTCTGGCTTCTCGTCCACTAAAACATCCAGGTTGATGGTTTTTGATACCTCACCCTGATAAGTATAAACAATATTTATATATAATTGTGTCATAAAACATATATAGTGAAGCTGCAACATAATATATCCATAGGAACGTGAATTTGACAATCTTGTTATTCCGTGATTTTCTTTTTAAGCTGCTGAATCACTTTTTAGATCTTTTTATCTGAATTAAATACATTAATGCATATGGCATTGGCTTTTGAAAATGCTAATGGTGGAGGATTTATCTGTTGGTAATAGAAGGAGATTTACCTGATGATAATGATAGATTTACCTGTTGTTTATGGTAGTAGATTTACCTGATGTTAATGGTAGATTTACCTGCTGGTGATGGTAGGAAATTTACCTGATGATAATGGTAGACTAACCTGTTGGTAATGGTAGATTTACCTGTTGTTAATGGCAGATTTACCTGTTGGTAATGGTAGATGTACCTGTTGTTAATGTAGATTTACCTGTTGTTAATGGTAGATTTACCTGTTGGTTATGGTAAATTTACCTGTTGGTAATGGTATATTTACCTGTAGTTAATGGTAGATTTACCTGTTGTTTATGGTAGTAGATTTACCTGATGTTAATGGTTAATTATTTACCCGTTGATAATGGTAGATTAACCTGATGATAATGGTAGATTTACCTGTTGATAATGGTAGATTTACCTGATGGTAATGGTAGATTTACCTGTTGGTAATGGTATATTTACCTGTAGTTAAAGGTAGATTTACCTGTTGTTTATGGTAGTAGATTTACCTGATGTTAATGGTTGATTATTCACCTGTTGATAATGGTAGATTTACCTGCTGGTGATGGTAGCAGATTTACCTGTTGTTAATGGTAGATTTACCTGTTGTTAATGGTAGATTTACCTGCTGGTGATGGTAGGAGATTTACCTGATGATAATTGTAGATTTACCTGCTGGTGATGGTAGCAGATTTACCTGTTGTTAATGGTAGATTTACCTGTTCTTAATGGTAGATTTACCTGCTGGTGATGGTAGGAGATTTACCTGATGATAATTGTAGATTTACCTGCTGGTGATGGTAGCAGATTTACCTGTTGTTAATGGTGGATTTACCTACTGGTGATGGTAGCAGATTTACCTGTTGTTAATGGTAGATTTACCTGCTGGTATGTAAAGGTGCCCTGATAGATGCTGAATCCCTTGGCTGGATCAAGTCCACCCTTGCCCTGTATGTGCCAATTGACATGAACTATACCATGGCTGGAGACAGAACGAGTCACATTGATGGAGATGACATCACCTAGATAAATAAAAAAAAATCCTTTTAATCAAATTAAAGGAGCCAATTGTTTTCAATCTGGTTTATTTCAAAACCAATTTCAGAGATGATATTGTGAAACCCCAACAATCAGTGTAAAAAGGAAAGTCTTCAATTCTATAGAAAGTTCTTAAAGAAGCATTTCCTTATTTTGCAGAAATCCTCACAACATAACCTTGAAAGGATTTAGCAGTGAAAAGGTGAGTATGATCTTTATATTTTTGTACATACATATAGACATGTAACATGATTTAGATACAGAGAATATGTTTCACTATGTACATGTTTTCTGTGTATATTTAATTTCAGATTATATTCCTGTACATATTTTTCAATCCTAATCACAGTATCATGACACCTAAGCTAATACAGGAGACAATTTATACCTTCTCTTGCTAGAACAGAAGTAGTATCAAATCCTAAGACACCAGCCACATAGTCATTCTCCATGATTACAACCTTCACACGGGCATCTGGACTGATATCAGCTCCCCCCTGTGGATTACGTAGTTGGACTGTCAACGTCTCGTTTAGTTCTGGTGCCACATCATCCAGTATTGTAAGAGTAATTACTGGAAAAGGAAAATTCATCATAAAATCAAGTACATTTTATCCTAGTCAGTACAAATCACAAAGTTGATTAATATTTGACAAAGTTCATCAGAAACAAAATCACTAATTCTATCATCATTTCATTAACAAAAAGGGGTGCAAGCTGATATTTTGAAATACAATATATACAGGAAAAGGAAACACCTCTACCATGACCTATCTGATGAGAATCCCTCGTCTGGTGATAATCCCATATATATCTATTGTAGTGAGGATGACATTGTCCTATGTAATAATCCCATATATATCTATTGTATTGAGGATGACATTGTCCTATGTAATAATCCCATATGTATCTATTGTACTGAGGATGACATTGTCCTATGTAATAGTCCCATATCTGCAACCTACTTTGTGGTTTCAGTTCGCGAACCTAATTCCTTATTGATATCTTACATCATTTAATGCCTCAAATCATGAAAAGGAGCTAAGGGCATTTATATTTTTCTGTTTGATTTGATACAGAAAATAGCATAAACAACTCACATCTTCTAGTTTTTCCTGCAGCAAACTGAAGGGTGGCTCCATCTGCCCTATAATCCACACCATACTGGGCATTGGTCCCCGTCATGTTGATAAACCAATCAACCATCACATCTCCAACATTTCCTCCTGTAAGACCAACTTTCCAGTTAACACACTTTACAGCTGAATAAGAGACATGTTCCTAATTGGAACATCTCTGTTCTCACTTGAGTAATTTGGAAAATGTTGTTGATCCTGAAGTACTTGGAAATTCTAACCATATTTAATACATCTTTTTTCCAGTGATTATTTAACAAAGATTGTTTGTCATAGCTAAAAAAATGTGTTACTTTCCCATATGCACAGGCTGTTGAAAAATTCAGACTGAAAATGAAATTAAAGTGAATTTCTACAAACAATCAATTTTCAAGCACTGTAGCTTGACCTAGAACAAAGTCCCCTAAATAGGCTGATCATTTGGTCCCAGTTTTATCAAAGCTGTGATAACACTGTGCATCTGATGGCTATCACATTGATTCCATATCACCACATTCTTACCCTGTCTCTCCACAATCAAGTCTACAGCATACTGAGGTTTCTCTTCTACAGGGAGATAGTGACCGCTATCTGATCCAGCTGGACTGTCACTGAACAGGGTAAATATTCCATAGGCGTTGTCATTCTTCACAATCTTTACTGTTGCTTTGTTCTGAGATCCGAGAGTCGGAGGATACTTGTCTGACCCCCCAGCTGAGATCACCTCTACACGTGTCAGTTTGACTCTAAACTTTTCTCCCAGTTCAGGGAAGTTGTCCGCTAGAATGGTCAAGGGTATTGCACCCTCATTTACTTGGTCATTAATAAGAACATAGCCATTGGTCACCACTCCAAAGTCTTGACCAGGAGTCGCTCGCATCATCAACAGTTCCTGCATCTATGGTAGATATAAAACAAAACAATCTTTTTCAATAAAAGTTAACTAAATAATTCAATATTCATGATGACCACAACAAACACATTGAATCATTTCAAGTTTTAAGACAAATCAACTTCAACACTTTTTTTGTTAGAATACTTACATTTTGATAGTAATGTAACAAAATTCTGATTGAAATGAATCTCTCACACAGTACACAGTAAACAGTAAAAAACAATGATTTTGGATCATCACTAGAAAATTCTGCTGATTCACTGACCTTGACCTGGTTTTTGTTGTAGTACTTGACCCCTGTCTTTGCTACAAGTGGCTGGTCAGCATGGGTGATGTACCATACACAGGTACTGAGGTTGCCATCCACTCTTACCTCAAAAGCCAGGCAAGCATCTACCTTGAGGCAGCTTGACAAACATACCTAAAATCAGGATGATATCTTATATCATACACTCACTCATTCTGCATTATTTGTGCAATTTCTTCATGACAGAACATTCATTAGCAATCATTCAATAGCTGTTCATTAAAAGGCACATATCATTCAAAGTTTATATCTTTTAGAATTGAGAAATTATCCTCAATTAATACATATAGAAAAGGTAGGTGGGATACCATCAAAGGGTTGTCCTCTCCAGCCACATCAATACTACTGCCTGGAGTTATGCGTCCTCCATCCTGTGGTAAGTCAAAATATGTAAGAAGTGAGGTCCCATCTAGCATGGCTTCCTGGACAATGTCTATCTGTTCTGTGGTGTAGTAAACACGCAGCAGTCCAAACGTACCTCCACTGTGGACAGGAAACAAAACTAAATCACTCAGTCTTGTGTTCGTTAAATGTCCTAAATTAAGATATTCTCTTTACTGTAAATATTTTCAATCTATTAATGTATGTAAGAGGTATTCTTTAGCATGCTGGAATCTGATGCATTAAGTCTTGGAGTTTCGTTGGAAAGTTGGAAAACTTACAGCCTTGCTAGTTTGATGTACTGGACACTACTGGTTTCTCTCTCCTCCACACTGTAGTTACCAGTAGCAAACTGTACTGATCCATGAGGGTTATCATTAGCCGCAATCGTAAAAATTAAGGAATTCCGTTCTCCAATACGTCCATCATTGTTTACGTTTACCAGAGTGAACTCTATTCCCTGAAATCATTATAGATAGTACTTGGTAATTTTATCAGTGAGAGTTAATGATTTTAATTTAGTAGATGAGAATTTGATTACAATTCAAATATAACTGCCCTGCACTGGACTATTAAATGTGGAATAGAGACTGCTGATTTGTGATTTTGTTCCGTGCTTTTGCATTGTTTTACAGCCTATCAATGACAGAATTTCTTTTAGACCCAACAACACTGAATTCACAAAATAATGAAAGAAACAACAGTCATAAAGTCCTTCACAAGGTGTAAATGACAACTTCTTCGCAAAATCTTATAATGAGGTAAATTTGCCAAACAGAAGAGGCCTTTGTGAGATAATTCCTTAATCTACAGGTTCAGTTGCTACCTCAGGTCCCTCTGGAACATCGTCAGGGAGGACAGACACTCGGATGTTTCTGCTGGCCTCATTGCTGACAAAGTGTATTGATCCAGCTGTAGGCACTATGTCAGCATTTGGAGGCTGATCTGTAAGAAAAAATCAGAAATTTACATCCTTATCAGTTTTTATTATTAATATTAAGTAAATCCAAACTGCAGCACCAGTGACCCACATGACCCCTGAATACTTATTACATGACAGAATTACCTTCCCCTATCCTATCACACTGACACCTGCACTATCTACAACATGCCATTTCATATTTGACACTTAATCACTTTGACAGAGTTACCTACCCTGTCTGTACACACTCCAAATTCCAGTTAGTTCCAATTGCAATTACCACATCGATAGAGTTACTTCCCCTACAATAACCACTTTGTCAAGAACTACTTTCCAGCACAGTTCCTACTTTGACAGAGTAGTGTAACCCCCTTTGAAAGCATTATTTTCTCTGGTCAATAAGACTTGGACAGTTACCTCCCCTGAAGTTACTATATACTTCCTCTGAGTTTTGGACAGAGTTATCTTCCCCTGTAGTTACTATCTACCTCCCCTGAAGTTTGGACAGAGTTACCTACCTTTGTATCTTGCCTGCCAGTCCACACTGACTACTCCCATACTACCACCTGTCCTGATCACAGTGACATTGACCACAAAAGGACTTCCATTCTCTGGTTCCTCCACTGATATCTCATTAACAGCAAATTCTGAAAACCAAATTCAGATAGATGATATGAATTTTTTTTTTTTTTTGAGACCCAAATATATGCAATGTTTTTGATAGTAATTTGACAAAATAATATTTGGTATACCTATCACATGGACACATAAAACATTATTTACAACAAATCTTGCGGAAGAAAACCTCTGTCAGCAGCACATTCTACAAGATAACCCACCAGTATATCTGGGCTCGACTATCAATAAACTCCATCTTTTTATTTCATAACAAGCATTTTCAACGATGAAAGAAGTTAAGTAAGAAAATCGATTTACCAAAGGCACCAGTAGGATCATCTGAGGGCAGGATATTGATGACACAATAGCTTCTATTGCCAAGAACAGCATCCCCTGTAATCTGATCCAGAAGCTCCACATAGAAGGTCTCCCTCATCTCTGGTACCTGATCTTCCCTGATGAGGATGGGCAAGGCCTTACTTCTCTCCCCATCCAGTAGGACAACAGTGTCTGTCAACATCTCAAAGTCTAGATGTTCCAGTGCTGTACCATTCACCACACGGAACTTCACAGATACCTAAAAATATCATATATCTTTAAGTCTAAATATTCAAGAACTGTACTGTTTACTTATAGGCATGGATGTCTCTAATTATACTGACAGTAGTGATATTTTTAACTTACCTCCCCAAAGGTGCCCCCTTTCCTAGTAATGTTGACATCTGGGTTGGGCTTGGTCTCCTTTACGTACACTGACAGTGGTGAGATTTCTAACTTACCTCCCCAAAGGTGCCCCCTTTCCTAGTAATGTTGACATCTGGGTTGGGCTTGGTCTCCTCTACGTACACTGACAGTGGTGAGATTTCTAACACACCATGGGCATTGTCATTGTGTTCAATCATTATCTGGCCATACCTTTCTGCCATAATACCAAGTGTTGGAGAGTTTGGTACTGAAACCAAAAATAATGCTTCAATCATATTAACAATCTTCTTTAGTACACTACAATCTATAAACAACATTTAGATATCTTTCAAACATTTCCTTTACACACACTTTCTTACCTCCCACATCTTGTGCTTTTACCACAGTGAATCTGTCATTACAAAATGTTGGTTTTCCTTCACTAACATTCTCTCACTTGGTGACCCCCCTATAACTGGTGTTCTTACCTGGATTAGCCTGAGCAGTGGTGGCGATGCTGACTTCTGTAAGTTGTACAAAGATTGACTCATCACTTTCTGGTTCCTCATCCTCCAGAATCAGTACCACAAAGGATCCTTCTGATTGGTCAGTAGCAAATCTAACTATTCCCTCCGCTGCACGGTAGTCCTTGTCACTAGCCCGTACCACTGTGCCAGAAATAAAGGGAGGCGACTCTAGGGGAGTCAATGTTCTATATCCCACATCTATGGCACCAAATTGTCCGTGCTGCCTGGATATGGTGATGGTTACATCTGCAAGAAGAGTTCAATAAGATTGTACTTTTAATGAAAAAAATGAAATTTTACTGAAAGAAATAAAATATCTGTATGACTTAATTCTGCTCTCATGAAACTGAATATTATCTATTTATAGTTTCAGTGACCTGAACATCAAAGCTTTGAAACATTTTTTATCCAAGATATCCATTACATAGCATTTGTTACAACTTTGATTAAACAAGTGAAGATTGCATTGGAACAGACATTGGTAACACAACATGCCTACAGATCAAATAATTACAAATATGCTCTCATGCTTATGATGCAACCTTACTTTTGAGCGCTTCCGTGACAATGACAGGACGCTGGTCATTGGTAATGACAAACATTCCATATGGGTTATCATTAGCCTTAATGATCAGATTAGCTGTAACTAGACTGGGCCCTGCCAGACTGCCCTGTAATGAAATGCAATGAATGTTCATAAAAAATTGTACGCGTCATACTGTATGGATTTTTTTCCCTCCAGATCTTTTTTTAAGATCACTAAAACTCTGAATTGAAGGATTCATCATATTGCCAACCTTTTTTTGATATTCAATGTGTATGTGTATCATAATTATATCATAGCCTTAAACAGCTGAAAGTAGAGCACCTTCAAAAGTTAGTGTTTCATCCAAAAAAACCACTTATCAAAATGAATCTAAATTTTTTATTTGACTGCACTGACCTTCTGTCTACTCGAGAATGGTTTCATCGTAACATTACATGTCTAAAAACCCTTTTTGAAACTGTTGATATTTGTAAAATTCTACATTACCTGAAAGATATTGGTCTATTTAATAGACTATGACATAGCATTTTAATCTTTTGTGTTAACATACCCATTTAAGATTTTTAGCATTTGTCTTTTACCTTTTGGTTTGTTAAATGTTATTTCCTTTTGGATCACTGTGTGTTTTACCGGTTGATGGCCCTAATAACCTTTTATGTGTTGACAGGCTGTTAAGAATGCAATGATAATAATAATAATATCAAAATGAATCTTTAAAGGGTTTTTTTTTTAAGAGAAACGCTCACCATACCTTGAAGGGTACAAAGGGAAAGGTCGCATATGTCAGTCAGAGAAGCCATGAACCTTATATAGGTATAGTATAATATCATAATAACAGTAAAGTCTTACCTACAGAGAAATTGTGAATGTAATCTCACAGAATAACTTTGATAACAAACCCTATTCACAGCTGACAGTTGTATTTGGTACATCTCATCTAATTCCGGTACTGTGTCTCCTCGAATTTTCACTTCAAAAGTTGCCATGGTTACTTCATGGTTAAATGTGACATTTCCTGTGGTTTCTATGACATCGTTGTCTGGTTGACCGAGAATCTGCCACGTAACTGTGGATTCTCCCAAGCTGCCCTGCTTTCTTAAAACCTTGTAATACAACATGAATAAGAAAACCTACAAATTAGGAAGACCTGATTTAAAAACTCTAATCATCTGTTTCTAGGAAGTACATCAGAACTCTAACATTCTGGGAACACATTCGTTCTGATAATATATATAGCTCACTACAAATCAAAGTCTTTTTTAAGGTCACAACTGAGAATCAATTAAATGATATGAACAGAAAACGACTGATCTGATTATCATTCCCTCATATTCAGTTCCCAAAATGTTATTATCACGGATAGATCAACATGCTAGTCCTGATTCTTGTACTTCATTTTTGTGATGGAACTCATAGAATTTCTGAAAACACTTTTACATGGTGTGACTCATTGTTTTTAACAATAAAGATGAAAAAGACTAAATAAATAAAATGGTTGATTAATCACTGATTATTGATATCAAATTGGTCTCTCTTACTATCTATTGATAGTAAATAGCTATAGGCCACACTAACTCTATATTGATAGTAAAATAAGCCCTGTTAACTCTCTACTATAAGCAAATTCATCACACTAACTCTGTTCATAATATTAACTCTCTACTGAGAGTAAAAAGGTCACACTAACTCTCTATTCATAGTAAATAGGTCACACTAACTCTCTATTCATAGTAAATAGGTCACACTAACTCTCTATTCATGGTAAATAGGTCACACTAACTCTCTATTCACAGTAAATAGGTCACACTAACTCTCTATTCATAGTAAATAGGTCACACTAACTCTCTATTCATAGTAAATAGGTCACATTAACTCCATTGATAGTAAATAGGTTACACTAACTCTCTATTCATAGTAAATAGGTCACACTAACTCTCTATTCATAGTAAATAGGTCACATTAACTCCATTGATAGTAAATAGGTCACACTAAATCTCTATTCATAGTAAATAGGTCACATCAGGTCTCAGTAAGAGATTCATAGACTTTGTATATTAACAAACAAAGCCTGTGTGAGATAGTTTTGAAACAATCCTGACCTGTAATATAACTGTGCTGAACCCTGAGTCTCCAATCTCATCAGTCTCAACGTTTAGTGAAGTTGGTCCAAATTCAAACACACCAAATGCTCCGTCTGAGTGGTTGATGGTTACAGTGATTGAGGAGGCGATCCCTACAGCAGCACCTCCTGTAGGGTTCAACAGGTCAACATTGAAGTATTTCTGGTCCTCTGGGAGACTATTATCCAAAATAGCAATGTTGATGAAGTCATATAATTGACCATCCTGAAATGTCAGTCGTCCAACTCCAGCCTAGAAATATACACAACATATACTTATTAGGTATTTTATCTCATCGATCAAAGAAAAGGAATCACAAAACACATTAAATGTCTTATTCAGTAAAATTTCTCCTTTTCAGTAATGAAAAAAAATCTATTTAAGGATGTTCATTTGCTTATGAGATATAAAATTTCCTTTCCTTGTCTCTGGTCAGAATATTTCAGAATTGAATTCACCAGGATGTGATCCAAGTCTAACTTGTTGAGTATCTGACAGACAGAAGCTAAAAGATGGTAGGAAGTCTTCCAGATCAGAGAGGAAGCAATCCGAGATCATGCCTTATTATAAGACCATGTCACCAACAGAGAAAATACCAAGGTGATTATTACCGTAGATATTAATAGTCTATTCAACAGGCAGTTTAAGGGAGCCATGTTGATAAAGAGATGGGAGCCCACAAACTCTATTATTGGACACCTATAACCAAGTTTTAAACAAGAACATAGCTGAGTCAGCTTTTGTGGGTCATTACATACATTGGTAGGCACCTAAATGTGGATTTGTTAAGTATCAAAACTGATGTTATTTTTATGTCAATATGATTATCATTTCCTACATTATTTACAGATCACATTCTGGTGGGAATCTCAAATGATTTGTCAATTTGACTACATTTGTCTGATAAAGGTTACAGAGTGTAGTTATATAGAAGTGTTTAACTGGCTGTTTTATATGATTTGCTATATAATTGTTCTATATGATCAGTGTTCACACAATCTTAATCTACAGGAAAAGTTTCAAAATACACCATGTGATATATCCATGATGATGTCCAATGATAAACCAATACTTAAAGTCTATGCATAGACACACCTCATGAGGATTAAACTTGTACGCTACATTGAGCTCTGTCAATAGGTATCCATCCCTATGACCTGTATATCATACTACACTGCAAAGTGTAGGTATACCTCACTATACAGACTTAGTGACCAACCATCACACCTCATGATAAAACATCCCTTGTGTTGACACTCAGTAAATTATGAAGACTTGATTCATTTCATTTGAATGAGAAGTTAATTGGGACTATTTTTTACCTACATACATTATACACATGTTTTGACATTTCTTCAATTCCTTGTGAAGCACACTTCCATATTTTTAGTATTTGTCACCTGATGACAACAAACCTTCAGACAGCAGTTTATTACTGTTCCCCTTACTGAGCCTTATGGAATTTGGAATTAAAGGTTTAAATGAATGAAATCTGGATTATGAAGTTCTTACTGGAAGCAATTGAATTTCATTTTGTGTGTAAAGGTGCAGCACAGCATGAGTCCAAATATAGAGATGTGAAGCCTCACAACATTTTAACAAACACTTTTATGACACAAATTTGATGACAATATAAAAGTGAGAACCTTTTCATAAACACTCATGTTGGTTTAAATTTTTAGTTAGTTTTTCCAACCATTGAAGCAATAAAGATTAAATATGTGATCGAAGCAACCACTTGTATACACTTACTCTGGAATACATACATAGCTGACCAGGTGATTTTTTAGCAAATTATACACTGTTAAAATGTGGATGCTATTTTTCTTAGCTTTGATACAAGTTTCACAACAGGTAAAGAATCCTTTGCCATCTTGTCAACTTCAAATTGGCAGTTGTTACTACAGTTTGGTACTAGGGAACAGTTATGGTGAAGGATGCACAGAGACCAGCCACAAAAATTACCTCACAGAATCAGGAAATGAAAACCGAAGAAAAAGATCTACAGGTAGCATGGAAACACATAGTGTTTCCATTGAGCTTCACAAAATAAGGCGGCGCTTAATTAAGGTTCAAAGCAATCTGTTAAAATCTATGGAAGATTTGTCCAAACGTTTACTCAGAGGAGTGCGTAGACTAGAAGACAGACTTGATAACCTTGGAAGTGAAGACCAGGTAAAGCGAGAGACTCAGAACGGTGATGCTGACCTCAGGTGTCCACATGGATTTCAGTTTGTTAAAAGTTGGGACTCCTGTTACATGCTATCAAACTTCAATGCAACTTGGTATGAGGCTCGAGACTACTGTGCTGCCCTGGAAAGTGAACTTGTGGGTCTCAAAAATGAAAAGGAACACAACCTCCTGGCATTTGTTATCAAAAACTCTCCAGGTAAGTGATGAGTGCTCCCCATAAACAAAAATTCTGTTGTTAAGGGGTTGCAGGCCCCTAGTTTTAATGCAAACAAAGCTCATGACACAAAATTTAACAAAGGGCAAAAACTCTGTACTGAGGGGTCATAGGCCCTGACTTTGCTACACAGCACCTTGATATACACATCATCTTTCAATATCTAGTATCAATGAAGGCAAAGTTATGCTGCGGACACAAAATTTTGATAAAGGGATATTACACTTTAATTAAGAGGTTGCAGGTCCTAACATTGGTACATCACACATTGTCTTTTGTATGATCAATGTATATACCAAGATTCATTATCCTACCTTAACGATAAGCAAAGTTATGCTCTGGACAAGAGTTTTAAACAAAAGGCAATAACTCTGTAATTGAGGGTTCAAGGGCCCTAAATTGGTTCACTGCACATTGTCTCAGTAAAGTCAATGTATCCATCAAGTTTAATTATCTCAGTATCAATGCAAGCAATTTAAAGGTGAGCTCTAAACACAAAAATTTAACAAAGGGCATTAACTCTAATTAAGAGGTTGTGGGTCCTGTATTTGGCACACTGCACATTGTCTTTGTATGATCAATGTATACAACTATTTTCATTTTCCTAGGTTAAATGCAATCAAAGTAATATTCTTGACATGAAAATTGAACAACGGGCAGCAATTTTGTAATTGAGGGATCGAGGGCCCTCGAATTTGGTACACTACACATCCCCTTATGACAAATATTAAAACGTTTCATGATCCTTGCTTAACTGAGGGCAATGTTATGCTCTGGATAGGAAAAGACCGATGGAAAGGCAGATAGACAAGATGGCGATTATATGCTACTTCAAAAATTTTTGGGGAGCATAAAAATATCAGTACCCTAGCACAATTAAATGGGGTTTTACAAATGCCTTTCAACACTTTCACCAAAACCTTAACTTTAGATTCCATATATAAAGTTGGAAGTCCAAATCATTTAAAAATATTTTAACCTGCACAGTAAAGCTGATATCAATTATCAACACACTAATACAATTATGAAGGGTTTATTGATGCCTTTCAATGCTTGAACAAAATGCCTAATGTTATAAACCAACAGTGACACTGAGGGGCGAGATAAAACCCTCTTCGAGTAGTTGGCTAATCATTGAGAAAAAAAATATTTTTAGTTAGGTCATAGAGATCTTGTATTTAATTTTAATAAGGACAATGAAACAGAAATATTGTCAGTTTCCAGAATATTACAGATTAGGATTCTTGTCAATGATAAAATCTCTCAATGGCTTGAATCTGCTGTTCAACCTGACAAGGTTGAATGCTGAACTAGGAAAACATACCACGAGATGAAAATATTTGTAGCTCTGTCAATATCTTCCACCTTGGTTAAAAATATTTGTAGCTCTGTCAATACCTTCCACCTTGGTTAAAAATATTTGTAGCTCTGTCAATACCTTCCACCTTGGTTAAAGATATTTTGTAAAAACTTTATGTATTTCACACATTGTAGCATGGGGTAAATGTATTCTTTAATCTCGTCACCAGGAACAATTTTGTTATGTGGCCTCCCACACAACAAGGGAAAGAATGTAGTCAATATACAATAGAAGTATGAAACATATTGGTGACACAATGAGCATTTAAAACTTAAATATGTGGTTAATGTCCGTGGCATCATTACATTACAGTTTACCAAAAGGTGCCGGGATGGTGGATGAGCGGAACATTCCATGACACTACCCGTCAATGGATGTGGAAATCAGAGACTCTGATGCAGCCTTTTACATTCATCAAATGGGCACCAGACGAACCCAATGAGGAGTCACTACAGTGTGTGTTTATGGCACGAGACTCCAACCATCTGTGGCGTGATGCCATGTGTACAGAAGCCAAGAACTTTATATGTGAGATTCCAACCCGTAATACCTAGCACAGAAGTCAAAGATCACCATCCTGAAAACACTTTTGATGCAGTCTTTTCATATGATTCTTTTAAAATTTGGCTGAATACAGAACATTGTACAATTTCTACAGTTGTAATAGTTAAATTGATAATAACACATTTGTTGAGAAAAAAAATGAAGAATATTTACTATCAAACATAAACCTTAATGTCCTTTTTATTTAGGTAATACTACCAGTTTTTGAGGGCTGTTCTGTTACTGTCCTACACCTCACACAAAGGATATACTTACAGAGAAGTCCCTGTTGTTAAGGGCTGTCCTGTTACTGTCCTACACTCTCACACAAAGGATATACTTACAGAGAAGTACCTGTTGTTGAGGGCTGTCCTGTTACTGTCCTACACTCTCACACAAAGGATATACTTACAGAGAAGTACCTGTTGTTGAGGGCTGTCCTGTTACTGTCCTACACTCTCACACAAAGGATATACTTACAGAGAAGTACCTGTTGTTGAGGACTGTCCTGTTACTGTCCTACACTCTCACACAAAGGATATACTTACAGAGTAATCCCTGTTGTTGAGGGCTGTCCTGTTACTGTCCTACACTCTCACACAAAGGATATACTTACAGAGAAGTACCTGTTGTTGAGGACTGTCCTGTTACTGTCCTACACTCTCACACAAAGGATATACTTACAGAGTAATCCCTGTTGTTGAGGACTGTCCTGTTACTGTCCTACACTCTCACACAAAGGATATACTTACAGAGAAGTACCTGTTGTTGAGGGCTGTCCTGTTACTGTCCTACACTCTCACACAAAGGATATACTTACAGAGAAGTCCCTGTTGTTAAGGGCTGTTCTGTTACTGTCCTACACTCTCACACAAAGGATATACTTACAGAGAAGTACCTGTTGTTGAGGACTGTCCTGTTACTGTCCTACACTCTCACACAAAGGATATACTTACAGAGAAGTCCCTGTTGTTGAGGACTGTCCTGTTACTGTCCTACACTCTCACACAAAGGATATACTTACAGAGAAGTCCCTGTTGTTGAGGACTGTCCTGTTACTGTCCTACACTCTCACACAAAGGATATACTTACAGAGAAGTACCTGTTGTTGAGGGCTGTTCTGTTACTGTCCTACACTCTCACACAAAGGATATACTTACAGAGTAATCCCTGTTGTTAAGGGCTGTCCTGTTACTGTCCTACACCTCACACAAAGGATATACTTACAGAGAAGTACCTGTTGTTGAGGACTGTCCTGTTACTGTCCTACACCCTCACACAAAGGATATACTTACAGAGTAATCCCTGTTGTTGAGGACTGTCCTGTTACTGTCCTACACTCTCACACAAAGGATATACTTACAGAGTAATCCCTGTTGTTAAGGGCTGTCCTGTTACTGTCCTACACCTCACACAAAGGATATACTTACAGAGTAATCCCTGTTGTTAAGGGCTGTCCTGTTACTGTCCTACACCTCACACAAAGGATATACTTACAGAGTAATCCCTGTTGTTAAGGGCTGTTCTGTTACTGTCCTACACTCTCACACAAAGGATATACTTACAGAGAAGTACCTGTTGTTGAGGACTGTCCTGTTACTGTCCTACACTCTCACACAAAGGATATACTTACAGAGAAGTACCTGTTGTTGAGGACTGTCCTGTTACTGTCCTACACTCTCACACAAAGGATATACTTACAGAGAAGTACCTGTTGTTGAGGACTGTCCTGTTACTGTCCTACACCCTCACACAAAGGATATACTTACAGAGTAATCCCTGTTGTTGAGGGCTGTTCTGTTACTGTCCTACACCTCACACAAAGGATATACTTACAGAGAAGTACCTGTTGTTGAGGACTGTCCTGTTACTGTCCTACACTCTCACACAAAGGATATACTTACAGAGAAGTACCTGTTGTTGAGGGCTGTCCTGTTACTGTCCTACACTCTCACACAAAGGATATACTTACAGAGTAATCCCTGTTGTTAAGGGCTGTCCTGTTACTGTCCTACACTCTCACACAAAGGATATACTGTACCTGTTGTTGAGGGCTGTCCTGTTACTGTCCTACACTCTCACACAAAGGATATACTTACAGAGAAGTACCTGTTGTTTAGGGCTGTCCTGTTACTGTCCTACACTCTCACACAAAGGAATACTTACAGAGAAGTCCTGTTGTTGAGGGCTGTCCTGTTACTGTCCTACACTCTCACACAAAGGATATACTTACAGAGTAATCCCTGTTGTTAAGGGCTGTCCTGTTACTGTCCTACACTCTCACACAAAGGATATACTTACAGAGAAGTACCTGTTGTTGAGGGCTGTCCTGTTACTGTCCTACACTCTCACACAAAGGATATACTTACAGAAAGGTTGTTGAGGACTGTCCTGTATACTTACAGAGAATCCTGTTGTTATACTTACAGAGAAGTACCTGTTGTTGAGGACTGTCCTGTTACTGTTACTGTCCTACACTCCTCACACAATACTTACAGGAAGTACCTGTTGTTGAGGACTGTCCTGTTACTGTCCTACACTCTCACACAAAGGATATACTTACAGAGAAGTCCTGTTGTTGAGGACTGTCCTGTGTCCTACACTTCACACAAAGGATATACTTACAGAGAAGTACCTGTTGTGTCCTGTTACTGTCCTACACTCTCACACAAAGGATATACTTACAGAGAAGTACCTGTTGTTGAGGGCTGTCCTGTTACTGTCCTACACTCTCACACAAAGGATATACTTACAGAGAAGTTTGAGGGCTGTCCTGTTACTGTCCTACACTCTCACACAAAGGATATACTTACAGAGAAGTACCTGTTGTTGAGGGCTGTCCTGTTACTGTCCTACACTCTCACACAAAGGATATACTTACAGAGAAGTACCTGTTGTTGAGGGCTGTCCTGTTACTGTCCTACACTCTCACACAAAGGATATACTTACAGAGAAGTACCTGTTGTTGAGGGCTGTCCTGTTACTGTCCTACACTCTCACACAAAGGATATACTTACAGAGAAGTACCTGTTGTTGAGGGCTGTCCTGTTACTGTCCTACACTCTCACACAAAGGATATACTTACAGAGAAGTACCTGTTGTTGAGGACTGTCCTGTTACTGTCCTACACTCTCACACAAAGGATATACTTACAGAGAAGTAAGGGCTGTCCTGTTACCCTGTTGTTGAGGACTGTCCTGTTACTGTCCTACACTCTCACACAAAGGATATACTTACAGAGAAGTACCTGTTGTTGAGGGCTGTTCTGTTACTGTCCTACACCCTCACACAAAGGATATACTTACAGAGAAGTACCTGTTGTTGAGGGCTGTCCTGTTACTGTCCTACACTCTCACACAAAGGATATACTTACAGAGAAGTACCTGTTGTTGAGGACTGTCCTGTTACTGTCCTACACTCTCACACAAAGGATCCTACACTCCTCACACACAAGGATATACTTACAGAGAAGTACCTGTTGTTGAGGGCTGTCCTGTTACTGTCCTACACTCTCACACAAAGGATATACTTACAGAGAAGTACCTGTTGTTGAGGGCTGTCCTGTTACTGTCCTACACTCTCACACAAAGGATATACTTACAGAGAAGTACCTGTTGTTGAGGACTGTCCTGTTACTGTCCTACACTCTCACACAAAGGATATACTTACAGAGAAGTACCTGTTGTTGAGGGCTGTCCTGTTACTGTCCTACACTCTCACACAAAGGATATACTTACAGAGAAGTACCTGTTGTTGAGGACTGTCCTGTTACTGTCCTACACTCTCACACAAAGGATATACTTACAGAGTAATCCCTGTTGTTGAGGGCTGTTCCATCAGTAGCTCTCCACTCCACAGTAACCAATCCCATTGCACCTTGTGCCCTCACAACCATTAAACTCACAATACCTGATTCCTCTGATATTGTCACCTGGAAATTAAACATAAGAAGTCAGTAAAACACATATCTAACAAAGACTTAATTTAAATAAGATTCATTGAAAAATTTACAACATTTGTTCAATAATTAATGATCATTATCAAATATACCACAGTAATTAAACTCACATCAAAATTTTCAATTCATTATTGCTACTCTATTTTTTTTATTACCCGTTTCTTAATCCTCGAGAAATGTCTTTCTATGAATCAAGCAAAACGTAATCAATGATCTTAAGAGAAGTGCAGTTTTAAGTGACATCTATAAAAAAACTAATTGTTTTTCTTTGTGAACAAATTTGCATTAAAGAATTCAAGACAAATAAAGACATTGTCTACAGATGAAAGTACCACCTGAATACAGGTAGTAACATGGATATATTAGGACACCTTTCCAAGTCATGGTATTCTTACAACACTTCTAAGGAATGATAGTAGACTCACCATAGGTTTGCTTGTACCTGGGGGTATCACCCCATCACCTGGAGATGGTGGTGTGGACTCAGTGGAGAACTGGAACAAACCATATGTGAAATCGTTCTCCTCAATGACAAAATTTGACAAGGCTGTTAGAGGATCAATACTAGCACCACTGGTGTTAGTAGTTCCTGAGATACCGTCACCTGACGTCACACCCACCAACTTGATGTGGAACGTTTCCTTAGCTTCTGGTACCATGTCATCCCGTACTTCCAAATAAAACACCTTTGACTTTTCACCTTGATAGAATGTGAGAACACCAGTGCTGGCCACAAAGTCATTGACCGCTTCAACTTGATTGCCACCCTGGAGAAGCTGAAACACAGCCCAGGTGATATTGACTGTCCCATCACTACCTTTGCTACGGCTCACTGAACACACCACTGTGGCATTTTCGTAGGTCGCCACTGCTGGGACACAGGACTGATTGAATCCAAACTGGCCATTGGCGTTGTCACTTTTTAGGACTATAAAGAAAGAAAAAATATACTAGTAACATATTAAGACTCAAGACTGAACACTTTTACACAGTTTGTAAATGTGTATTTCTCTCCTTTCTTAGTAAAACAGATTTATAAATCTGTGTTGTCCATGATCCAACATTTTAAGAAGCTAGATCTGATAATGACTTCATACCACAAAGCTGATACATCATTTTAACAGAAATTTCTACCTTGTATAAATTCCAATATAAACTTTTGAAATGACCTGAATTTTTCCATTATCATATACTTTAAGCTATCATGGAATGTCTTGGAATACTATCAGCAAAGAGACACTGGGTTTAAGCAATAACACATGTGTAACCAGACAAAGCAGATACAATGTTATTTGTCTGGTACAATATCATGTCATTATTTACATATAAATGTCACACTTGTTGTGAAGGACAACCAACACTGGTCAACAGAAGTCTTACTAGTGATTCTGGATGTGCTGTCAGTCACAGAAAGTGAAGCTCCATTGCTGGCACTGAGAAGCTTGACTTTGTAAACCTCATTCTCTTCATCAAGGGTGTCCTGGACAGAGTGTATAGTGATGTTTTGTGAGGTCTGTCCCTGATGATAAGTCATGTAACCTGATACAGGAGTCAGGTCTGCAGCGGCTGGGTTATTGTATAACTCCATAATGTGACTACACAAAGAGAAAATCAGCAGTCAGTTCACAGTAATACATAACACGAGACTCCAAAGGGATCTTGGTGCCCCCCATTGTTTTATCTTTATTTCCTATTTGAAAAATTTCCAAGATGGCCATCTGTCAGCCATTTTTTTTTCTGATCAGTGCAAAATTAGATGGTCGCAATTAGGGACCAAGCAGGACCTACATATGAAATCTGCAAGAGATCCATCAAGTTTGAAGAAACAGTGATAACAAATGTCACTGAAAAAATTCAAGATGGCCACCTGTCAGCCACTATTTTCCTGATCAGTCCCAAAATAAAACAGATACAAATACGGTAGATACCAAGGGGAACCGACATATGAAATATGACAAAGATCCATCGAGCTCTTCTCAAGAAATAGTGATAACAAAAATTGTTTACGGACGGACAACAAAAGGACGATGAATGGATGAATAGCCCGTTTTCTGTTGATGGTGGGCTAAAAATGATATAATCAGGCCACCTAAAACACATAGTCATTGGATCAATGGTCACATGTTCAGAATCACTGATATATTATCCTATTAGAGTCATACTTCAGTTGATAAATCTATTATAACAGAAGTTAGATCTTAAGTGTTTGGACTTGGTAGCCTTAATGTATTTAATTGATTATGAATATTATTCTAACAGTTGAAGCATGCTGAAACTAAAAAATACAAGATTTCTACATTTCTATATTTGTTACAGAGAGACAACAAAATGACATCTATTTCATGAAACCATTTTCTCATGATTAATGGTACTGATCTGTTTTCGATGACAGAAACAGGAGCAGGTATTGTAGTAGGAAATTTGAAGTCTATATTACGTACTTTACATCCAGGTTACCAGCGTACAGCCTCACATCCTGTAGGTACCCTATGAAATGGTCATTTCCAGGCGCTATCGCTCCTATAAGTAGAGTCCCTGTACCATCTATCATAGTCTGGGTACTCCCTATAAACCTGTAAGTACAGAAAAACAAGGTCGACCGTTAGCAGTATTCTTTGTCAAAATATATCAATAACTGACAAGCAAAATTTAACAAACATAGTTATTGCTTCATCAAGAGCAACTGTGCACGGACAACACAGAAATATTCAGACAGTCGGAAATGAATCAAATGAATTTATTCTTCCTTTTTCACAATATAGACATAATAACATATAAGTTTTTAACAATTCAACAGGTTATCATAAAGATTTTTGTCAAGTTTTTACAGTTGAGATACAGGTTAATATAGCACAATCAGTGAATTGTTTGATGTGTTGGTCACTAGTATACAAGTCAAATTAATCAGGTGATGAAAAGTTGTGTTTACTGGATACTGACTTGGTATCAAGGAGTTTGGAATCAAGGTAGAAGAGGATGTTCCCTCCACTAATAGACACCACAAGGTGGTGCCAAGCTCCATCCTGTATAGTGGTATTTGTTGTTACGGATACTTCCTGGTTTGTCTGAAAACAAATATCATTTACATTCAGCAGACATTTTTTTAAAGTTTATTTACGTTTGTTACACCAGTTTATCACAACATTTTTTCGATATTCAGAAAAGAAGAAGAAGAAAAAAACAACAGATTGCTCATACTTGTGAAAGAAAATTAGATTCTTTTTTCAAAATTTATGAAAATATGAAAATTTCACAGTAATTTTCAAATTCGTAAGTCACCAAGAAAACAAAAAAGTCATCATAACAAAACTCCCAAATTTCACAGAGATCAGCCATGAAATAAGAACTGCCGCTCAGGATAACAGAAACTCAGGAAAACTTAACTACGTATAATAAAGATAAAGCTGACCAAACCTGAAAAGGATCACCCATCAAGATTTAAACACAGAATAAACAAAGGACAATAACTCTTACAAAACTTTGTAGTGGTATTACATTTAAATAACATTTTACAGTAAAAAGGGATATTTTCACTTCAGAGAAAATAATAAGTATTTCCACTCATCACAACAGTTGCATTGTTTACTTATTTGTGTTACATGACTTAAAGGTGTATGTCTTAGATGTGAAACTGGCACCAATGTAGGTGTGAGAAATGTAATGAATATTCCTTGTTATTTCTCACAAGTGCTTACCTATTATTTATCAAGAAACAAAGAATATCCTCTATTTCAATTGACTTCAGGTAAGCACAATATCATGACATAAAGCCAAATTTCAAATCAATCCATCCTGTTCTGAGAGATGTTATCTTATGACAAGAATATTAATACAAAGAGATTATCATATTAGCGGCAGAACCTTAAATTGTGATGCATCTTGGTGGACATTCAGAGAGCGATGATTTCGACCTTTTGTCTGTAACCTTGGGGATAATGACTTTGAACTCTTGCCTGAATAATTTTACTCTGGAATGGGGATTTTGAATTTTTACATCGGGTTAGGAAAGATGATTTGGAACTTTATCATTAACCTTAGGAGGATGGTTAGATTTTTGCGGGTTAGGAAAGATGATTTGGAACTTTATCATTAACCTTAGGAGGATGGTTAGATTTTTGCGGGTTAGGAAAGATGATTTGGAACTTTATCATTAACCTTAGGATGATGGTTAGATTTTTGCGGGTTAGGAAAGATGATTTGGAACTTTATCATTAACCTTAGGAGGATGGTTAGATTTTTGCGGGTTAGGAAAGATGATTTGGAACTTTATCATTAACCTTAGGATGATGGTTAGATTTTTGCGGGTTAGGAAAGATGATTTGGAACTTTATAACCTTAGGATGATGGTTAGATTTTTGCGGGTTAGGAAAGATGATTTGGAACTTTATCATTAACCTTAGGATGATGGTTAGATTTTTGCGGGTTAGGAAAGATGATTTGGAACTTTATCATTAACCTTAGGATGATGGTTAGATTTTTGCGGGTTAGGAAAGATGATTTGGAACTTTATCATTAACCTTAGGATGATGGTTAGATTTTTGTAAACAGATGAGAATTATTAACTTTAACCAAAGATGAAATGATGATTTTGAACCTTTTGCCTGTAAATGTTATGGTATGAATTACTGTCCAGTGGTTACTTACTGTACTGCCTGTTAAGGAAAATCCCAATCTAAAGATTGTGCCTCCAGGTGCTGTCACAACCCGGAGGGCATAGAAGAAGCGGGTACCATCTGCAGTGGTCTTGGCCAGTATGTAGCTATTAATGCTGGAGAAGGGCAGTAACCAGACACTGATCACAAACCCTGCTGATATTTCTGCTGCTGTGGGCTGCTGTAGAGTTGGAACTGACAAATAGTTATCTGTGGATAAAGAAGTATGCAGTTAACGTTATTCCACTTCAGTAAAAGCTTACTCAAGTGAGTAGTCCAAATCCTAAATAGTATATAAGAAATTAGTTATGATATTGAATATCAAGGAAACTATCTGTATATCAAATCACATCATCTGAATCTTGAAAATCACAATTGTTTTTTTAACCTTTTCATCATGCTGTAATATTTTTAATATTAGATATTTTAGATAGAAAATTTTCAGATAACATATTGGTAAAAATCAAAACGAAACATTTGAAAATAAAGTTAACAGTAGATATGGACAGACAACATCTGTCTGAAGATTCAGTTATTTTTAACCAATAAATCCTGATGAACCTTCCAACAAATGTTGCCTGGCAATATTTACTGTTAACTTTATCTTCAAATTGATTTTGATTGCTGTTTTGGAACTGGACTCTGTATTCAATCAGAAATCCTGAAGACTTTTAACACTTTTAGAAATTTTCTGTGGGATGTTGGATCTCATTTTCTTTGTATCTGAAAATAAAATCATGCTGAAAACAGTATACTCTCCACTTGCCATACTTCTTCAACACTTTTTAACAAATTTTCGATAGATTAAGCTGATATACAGCTTCAGTCTGTGTTAATAAAGACACTCACTGACAGCCCCCGTAAGATATATTACATCAGTCCCTGTCCTGTCACGCTGTTTAGTAGGAGATAATATCACCTCACTCCTTCTTGTAGACAACAGGATCAGGTCATACACTTTAGGAAAGGTGTCAGCCAACTGGTTAGAGAATATTTCCCAGGACACCTGTAAAATTGACACATTAAGGAAAGAATATATCAATTTTGATTACTGAAGATACCAGAGTTATACTTCCTGTGCATTTTTCCACTAACAAAGGGACAAAGGGGCATTGTCAAGTTTCTTTTAGATATAAGTTGTCAAAGGACAAATGAATTCCTGTATTTTTTAGTGTATCACTTTTCACATCTTTTTGTTTTCACAAATGTCTGATAAGAATGTATTCTGAGATAAAGTTTTTAGCATTTCAGAGAGGAAATGCTGTTTAGAAGCCAAATTTGTTGAAGAAAATTACATAAAATGGTTCACAAGTTTCAAGCTTTTGAATTTTCATTTAAATATATATGATATAGCTGCTGATTTTGCAAATGCAAAGTTCCTTTCCTTTGACACTTACATTTAGCGGGAATTCCCAAGAAGCATTTGTACACAGTACACCAAGCTTAATTTTGTACATGATAAAACAAAACTCCTGAAAACTAACAGTACAAGTGTGTGGTATAGAATTTTTGTTAAAACTGTCACACAAATTTACCATAACATCTCTAAATATTCCCTGTCTCCTCTCAATGGTGAGTTCAGCCTTGGCCAGGTCTTCTTGACCAGTATAGAAGTCCTCTGCTATGGTCACATTTCTGGATGACAGTTGGAAGGCAAACTTGCCATAGGGATCATCGTTAGCCACAACCATCAACAGAGCCTCGTTATTTGTGGTTGAAATCCTTGTCAGTACTTCATCTGTCCTTCCTTCAACAACTGTTCGTAAAGATTTAGGCACATTTTAATTTATTTGTTTAATGTGGGACAAATTACAAAGGAAAAGTGATTTGAACAGCTCACCATCTGATGAGGTGATCTAAAAACAATAACAACAGTAAGTATACCGGGAGTCCAGCTAGGTAGTACAGACCTGTATATAATCTATCCTTGATTGGGGGTTTTTACTTCAATTATAATGTCAAACATCTAATTTACCAAAAACAGTTACCATCACACACACTAACTAGGACTATTATGATGCAAGTTTGTTTGTATCTACTGAATATATAGCTGACCTTTAACAGGAAATAGTTAGATCTTTACCTATCTCTACTGAATATATAGCTGACCTTTAACAGGAAATAGTTAGATCTTTACCTATCTCTACTGAATATATAGCTGACCTTTAACAGGAAATAGTTAGATCTTTACCTATCTCTACAGAATATATAGCTGACCATTAACAGGCAATATTCATGCCTTTACCTATCTCTACAGAATATATAGCTGACCTCTAACAGGAAATAGTCATGCCTTTACCTATCTCTACTGAATATATAGCTGACCTCTAACAGGAAATAGTTAGATCTTTACCTATATCTACTGAATATATAGCTGACCTCTAACAGGAAATAGTCAGATCTTTACCTATCTCTACTGAATATATAGCTGACCTCTAACAGGAAATAGTTAGATCTTTACCTATATCTACTGAATATATAGCTGACCTCTAACAGGAAATAGTTAGATCTTTACCTATATCTACTGAATATATAGCTGAATATATAGCTGACCTCTAACAGGAAATAGTTAACAGGAAATAGTCAGATATATAGCTTTACCTATCTCTACTGAATATATAGCTGACCTTAACAGGAAATAGTTAGATCTTTACCTATATCTACTGAATATATAGCTGACCTTTAACAGGAAATAGTTAGATCTTTACCTATATCTACTGAATATATAGCTGACCTCTAACAGGAAATAGTTAGATCTTTACCTATATCTACTGAATATATAGCTGACCTTTAACAGGAAATAGTTAGATCTTTACCTATATCTACTGAATATATAGCTGACCTTTAACAGGAAATAGTCAGATCTTTACCTATATCTACTGAATATATAGCTGACCTTTAACAGGAAATAGTTAGATCTTTACCTATATCTACTGAATATATAGCTGACCATTAACAGGAAATAGTTAGATCTTTACCTATATCTACTGAATATATAGCTGACCTTTAACAGGAAATAGTTAGATCTTTACCTATATCTACTGAATATATAGCTGACCTCTAACAGGAAATAGTCAGATCTTTACCTATATCTACTGAATATATAGCTGACCTTTAACAGGAAATAGTTAGATCTTTACCTATATCTACTGAATATATAGCTGACCTCTAACAGGAAATAGGAAATAGTATAGCTGACCTCTAACAGGAAATAGTCAGCTGACCTCTAACAGGAAATAGTTAGATCTTTACTTATCTCTACAGAATATATAGCTGACCTCTAACAGGAAATAGTCATGCCTTTACCTATATCTACTGAATATATAGCTGACCTCTAACAGGAAATAGTCATGCCTTTACCTATCTCTACTGAATATATAGCTGACCTCTAACAGGAAATAGTTAGATCTTTACCTATCTCTACTGAATATATAGCTGACCTCTAACAGGAAATAGTTAGATCTTTACCTATATCTACTGAATATATAGCTGACCTTTAACAGGAAATAGTTAGATCTTTACTTATCTCTACAGAATATATAGCTGACCTCTAACAGGAAATAGTCATGCCTTTACCTATATCTACTGAATATATAGCTGACCTTTAACAGGAAATAGTTAGATCTTTACCTATCTCTACAGAATATATAGCTGACCTTTAACAGGAAATAGTCAGATCTTTACCTATATCTACTGAATATATAGCTGACCTCTAACAGGAAATAGTTAGATCTTTACCTATCTCTACAGAATATATAGCTGACCTCTAACAGGAAATAGTCATGCCTTTACCTATCTCTACTGAATATATAGCTGACCTCTAACAGGAAATAGTTAGATCTTTAATATATAGCTATCTAACAGGAAATAGTCAGCTGAATATATAGCTGACCTCTAACAGGAAATAGTCATGCCTTTACCTATCTCTACTGAATATATAGCTGACCTCTAACAGGAAATAGTTAGATCTTTACTTATCTCTACAGAATATATAGCTGACCTCTAACAGGAAATAGTCATGCCTTTACCTATCTCTACTGAATATATAGCTGACCATTAACAGGCAATAGTCAGATCTTTACCTATAGCAGACTGAAGTGCAACTCGAAACTGCTTGTCTTGTTCTGGCTCTCCATCCATTCGAACAGTGATAAAGATCATCTTAGCTTGTTCATTCTCCAGGAATCTTACTGTCCCATTGGCAGATATAAAATCTCCTCCGTCTGGTAGAAGCTGGTTGGTTACTTGATCATAGATTTCCCAATTGACGTCCACCACACCAAACCTTCCCTCTGTTCGGCCGACCCTATGGTACATGACGACATAAGCTTTATGAAAAAGCTTTCCAATATACAAACTTATCATAAACAATAGAAAGTATTACAACAAAGTTACTGCAAGGTGGAGAATCCCTTCAAAAACCTAACTATTTACCTTATCTTATTTTTTACATAAGACTCATATTAATCTTGACAAGGTGGAGAATCCCTTCAAAAACCTAACTATTTACCTTATCTTATTTTTTACATAAGACTCAAATTAATCTTGACCTTTTACTTCTGCCTTTGAAAGTTCACTGGATTCCCATGAAGGAGAACTAGGGTACCAAATCTTTCAGGTTACTTTTCTTCTAAATAAGCAAAGCAGCCTTGACCTCTGACTCCTTACTTGAGAAATCAATAGAATTTATTCTATCATGAAAGGAAACAGGACCAAAACAGTTTGGGTCACTTTACTAGTCTCAATCTTTGGGAATGTCCCTTTAGCCAACAAGTGTATGGGTATAGTGTCTGTCTAGAAAGAACTAAATTTTGATGATCCTAGCTCCATTGAAAAGTCTTCTCTGAACTGTACCAGACATACATTGTACCATCCCCTCTAGACAGACAAATGATTGATGCACACTAAAATGAACATGACAAATGGCTACAAATCAATTTCCTATATGCAAGAGAGAAAAAAGTTTCAGCGGTAACTAAAAGACTATGGATACTTTATATAACTGAAAACATGAGAAATGAATGAAAATTTTAGGTCAAGGTCTATGTACTTACTCAAAAGCCACCTGGCTTCCTTCCTCTGATGTTTTCTCATAAGGTGGGTTGAACTGAAACACTCCATAAGCGTCATCGTTAGCCAGTATAATGATGGTAGCATTCGGTGACGCCGTGAACACAAGGTCACCTGTAAGTAAACGTGTAGAGTTTTTGTTCTGACTCTGATAAAAACATTCAAAGGCCAAGAGAGGGTTATGGTGAAACAAAGACAAAGAATATTACAGAAATAAATGTCAGCTGCCATTTTAAATGCAGTAAAATCTAATGATTATAACTGATGATAAGTATAATCCAACATTATGTACTATACCTGTAAACCTGTACTGACCTTGAATATCGTAGAACTGTACGTAGAAAGTCTCATTGGTTTCGGGCAGTGTATCCTGTAGTATTTCTATACTGACCACTTTTTCTATCTCACCTACTCCAAACACAAGGTTTGTCGGCGATACAGAAGTGTAGTCACCATTAGCAACCGTGGCACTGCCGTCCATAGTTTTGTACTTCATACTAGCAATGTCTGTTCCATCACCATCCCGACGAATTCTAATGTTCAACACTGATGGCTCTCCAGTATACACAAGGGGCTCTGAAACCATGTACGTTAGTCATCAATATGTCTCAATCAAAACTTTATTCACTAAATCAGTCTAATATACTCACATCATTATCATTACTTTTCAATACCCTATATAAATATTTTCTACCTTTATTAAACATGTCACATATTCCAAACACATAATTAACTTGTTAAACAGTGCATCCATTGTCACAAAAGGACAAGCCTTTTAATTGAAAGATATTTAAGTACATGTATTAAAACAAAAATTATAATACAAAATCTATGAACATGATAATCCTCCATGCATTGATTAATCGTCAGAATGGCTGACATCTTGCCTTTTTCAAACTGTTGTTTTCACATCTGAGGTTACTGTGTGCATAAGAGGCTTTTCTTAACATTTTTCCTGATTTAAAGTTTAAAACAATGTCAAAGTATGTACATGTCTAGTAGAATCTCATAAAAGGGGGAAAAATGTCATGGTAACTGTGTTATCTAAATCGTTCATAAATGGTAGTGTTTATATTACATAATATTAGATATTGTAAATGTCCTGTTAAAGACATTATCACCAATGTATTTATAACAGAGAGCTTTTTCGATTATAAAAAGTATGTTGTTTTATGTTAAAAACATTAATACGAAAACTTTGATAATACAAGTTGTCAGCCCTCTAAACTTTTCCTCTGCTTTGTGTTAGAAACTATTTTCTTTTTTAAATATCATTCCAAGTAAGAAATATCAATACAGCCACCACACAGAAATCTTGAGTAAAGGGAGACAATCTGGTAGGACAACACATCTGACACCATAAATGTGGATTGATAGGGTTATCATAAAATTAGGCAAAATCTTAAGCACCATTATTATCTGAAAGTCTCAGGGATAAAATAGATGATTAATATAAGCTGTAGGAAGAGATCGACTAAAGTCCCAGGCTGACCAATATAAGTCAAAGATGATACAGAAAACGACCAAAGACCCAGGCTGACTGATGTAAGTCAATGCTGCACAACAGAACAACCATATAGTCCCAGGCTAATTGATATAAGAGAATCCCTTACCAAAGTTTACGTCAGATCGTTTGGGTCGATAGTGAATGATTGGGACCAAAATCGCACTCAAATACAGAATGGACTCAAAACCCAACATAATAGCTGCGTAGTGGAGGAAAGGTAGAAACAAATTAAGATAAAACATCTCAAACTTTCACATTCTAGTCATGAAGTGTTTTTTTATAATTATTCTAAGAGAAGGAAGTTTTCATTTTTTTTTTTTTTATCTAAAATGCTGGCAATATTCATATCATCATCTACTCAAGGAGATACTTCATATTTCTAGCTTTTTTAAGGTACTTTTGTATTGTTGTAAGTGTATGCATGATTGTATTAACTTGGTTAATGTATCATTAATGGAATAAAGAGGGTCACATGACTTTTATACCAAAATCAGATGTTATTTCCTGTGTTGAGGGCTAGATGTATCACTAGATTATTAATTTGTCATGTAGATATTACAATTCAGACTTAATTTTGTTAATATGGAAATACACTAGTACATATTTTAAGTGCAATATGCAGTTTCTTATTATGTTACAGAAAAAAAAATCATAAACATGTTTTCACAGTATCTTGTTCAGATATTAGCACAAGTACAGTAACGGTAATCCAGAAGAAAGCAAATCTTGTAGCAGTGTAAAGCACAATATAGATGATTACCTGCAATGTAGACAGGTTTGTCGTTCTCCATGATACTGACAGTGACAGTGTCATGAGCTGCAATCCTAGCCCCTCCTGTAACGGAGACTAACCTTAACAGGAACGGTTCACTTTGTTCTGGAATCTATAACCACACGACAAAGACAAACTTTAATCTCTAACCCTACAACAAAGACAAATATATATTTTTTCTCAAAACCATCTTTTATAATGCAAATGACGATATTTCCACATTATTAATTATTTCACTGACTTAGTAAATTGGAACTGAAGGGGCATGGACACCATTACCTCATCCGGGACAGACTCCACTCTGATAAATCCCTGATTCTGTCCGTCACCAAACGTAACAGTGCCTGCTGTTGGTATCAAGTCAACGTTATCTAAAGAATCCAGCTTCCACATTACCACAACAGACCCAAATGTTCCACGAATTCTCTCCAATGCAATGGATATGGCCTGAACATCTCCAACCTTACTCTCACCTGTTCATGAACATTTCATACAGTTTGTAATATAGCATTGACACACAATTTTTTCATTAATTGCAAATCCTTTTAAATCTTAGCCACAAAATGAGTCAGAGTAACAGTATACTAATAAAGTTTTGATGAGCCTGTTAATAGTAATTTGCTATGTAATATGTATACCTTGTATTTGTTCACAATTATAACATGATATATAAAAGTTGAAATCCTATTAAACTAAGTATGTAAAGGAAATATATTGTCTATTTTAAGTATTGTTATACTAATCATTGTTAAACTATATCATTTTATGGGTGTAACTTGAATGGGTGACATTAGCTTATCCTTTGTGCTTGTATCACTACAGAGTGGCATTTTTTACTGTAAAACTACTGGACCAGAATTCATCGAGTTAGGTCATGTTATTTAGCCTCCCACAGAATCCAGGCTTTACCCTTCTGTATCACAAGGAAAGCCAAACATTTGTTTAACAGTTTCTCATCTAAGACTGTTGGAGAATATTGAGACAAACTCTAGTAACTGAACTTTTAAAAAAAAAATTCTGCAGAACTTGATCAGTGGGACAACACTTGTTCCATCATCTTAAGGTTCAACAAGCAAGCTAGCAATGATAGACCTGTATATGTCTGTCAAAGCTTCATCATGGGTTTGTCATTTGAAGATAATTGTCTTCACTCAATACATTCTATTCCTAAAATCATTTTTATATCATGAATATTTAGTTTTAGCAACATCTGCAAATTCTATCCTGACAAATACATCAAACGAAGGTTCACCATTTGCTTTACCTATAACAAATGTGTTGGAGTTATTGGGGAACTGAATCACACCGTTAGTCATTTGCTTTATCTATAACAAATGTGTTGGAGTTATTGGGGAACTGAATCACACCGTTAGTCATCTGCTTTATCTATAATAAATGTGTTGGAGTTATTGGGGAACTGAATCACACCAATAGTCATTTACTTTACCTATAACGAATGTGTTGGAGTTATTGGGGAACTGAATCACACCAATAGTCATTTGCTTTATCTATAATAAATGTGTTGGAGTTATTGGGGAACTGAATCACACCGTTAGTCATCTGCTTTATCTATAACGAATGTGTTGGAGTTATTGGGGAACTGAATCACACCAATAGTCATTTGCTTTACCTATAACAAATGTGTTGGAGTTATTGAGGAACTGAATCACACCAATAGTCATTTGCTTTATCTATAACGAATGTGTTGGAGTTATTGGGGAACTGAATCACACCAATAGTCATTTGCTTTATCTATAACGAATGTGTTGGAGTTATTGGGGAACTGAAACACACCAATAGTCATTTGCTTTACCTATAACAAATGTGTTGGAGTTATTGGGGAACTGAATCACACCAATAGTCATTTGCTTTATCTATAACGAATGTGTTGGAGTTATTGGGGAACTGAAACACACCAATAGTCATTTGCTTTACCTATAACAAATGTGTTGGAGTTATTGGGGAACTGAAACACACCAATAGTCATTTGCTTTACCTATAACAAATGTGTTGGAGTTATTGGGGAACTGAAACACACCAATAGTCATTTGCTTTACCTATAACAAATGTGTTGGAGTTATTGGGGAACTGAATCACACCGTTAGTCATCTGCTTTATCTATAACGAATGTGTTGGAGTTATTGGGGAACTGAAACACACCAATAGTCATTTGCTTTACCTATAACAAATGTGTTGGAGTTATTGGGGAACTGAAACACACCAATAGTCATTTGCTTTATCTATAACAAATGTGTTGGAGTTATTGGGGAACTGAATCACACCGTTAGTCATCTGCTTTATCTATAACGAATGTGTTGGAGTTATTGGGGAACTGAATCACACCAATAGTCATTTGCTTTATCTATAACAAATGTGTTGGAGTTATTGGGGAACTGAATCACACCGTTAGTCATCTGCTTTATCTATAACGAATGTGTTGGAGTTATTGGGGAACTGAAACACACCAATAGTCATTTGCTTTACCTATAACAAATGTGTTGGAGTTATTGGGGAACTGAATCACACCGTTAGTCATCTGCTTTATCTATAACGAATGTGTTGGAGTTATTGGGGAACTGAATCACACCGTTAGTCATCTGCTTTATCTATAACGAATGTGTTGGAGTTATTGGGGAACTGAAACACACCAATAGTCATTTGCTTTACCTATAACAAATGTGTTGGAGTTATTGGGGAACTGAATCACGCCATTAGGATCATCATTGGCAGAGATGTTGACCAGAATCCTGGACTTGTCTCCAATTGAGGCAGACACATTGCCATATGGCTGCAGTCGGAGGACAAAGCTTTCTAATATCTGGGGAAAAAATTCAATGTATTTTACTAAACATGTTGGAATTCATCATTCAAGACTTGTGAAAAATTTGAAACATGATTATAAAAGAATGCATAAAATTAACAGAAAATATTTAACAGAAATATGAAATCAAGGGGAATCACCAATACTCACTTCAGGAATGTTATCCATTTTGGCAAGCAGTGTAGAATTGCTAAATCTGATACCAGGGTCAAACCGGAGAACATTGTTTGCTCCAAAAAATTCATCTGCTCCAATGTCCGCACCATTTGATTCAACAGTGTACTGAACAAAACGGGTGATTAGGTCTCCACCTGTTCGTTCTACTATCACATCAATAGCTGCACTTCCCTCCTACAATACACAATAATATGTATTTGATGCAACAAAATGGTAATTAAAATTGTTATTGTTACTTATATTCATAAACCAGGAAAGCTTCCAATGTCCTTTTAATTATTTTGCATTCAGAAAAAGACAAAATCTGTGATAAGTTTATCTTTGATGGGAGAAGTTAAAAAAGTATGGTGGTATTAATTGGATGACTGAGATCATGAAGACTGGAATCAATATCTTTATTATGATCTGTAAAAAAATTGAAATACATCACTTAGAGATCAATTAGATTCTTACAGAAATATACGTTACTGCAACAAAATAACAATCATTTGATACAAGTGTGTATCAATACATTTGGAGTTTTGGTAAATGATTTTATATTTACAATGGGAAGAAATGAAATTGTGATAATCCTTCACAAACCATGAAAGAGTAAAAATAAAAAAAGGTGTGGAGGGGTCCAACGTCCTATGGGTGGTACTGATCAATAGATATGTCGAAGCAGGAATCCTAGGTGGATACAGAAATATTCTAGCAGAGCTCCATAGACGATATGTACTAACAACAAAATGAAGGATGGAGCATCAATGCCTGGGATTCCATGGATTTGCCAACCGAAACATGTAAACCAATAAAACCTAAATCCACGGAATCTCAGGTGTTGATGCTCCATCCTTCATCTTGTTTAAACTATAAAAGAGCTAAAAAGAGAAATATTCAATAGAAGTTCTTATATCAAATCCAATTAAGAAAGTTTGTTTGATGTTTCGAGGAATTCACTATGACCTTAATCAGATCAAATTACAGCCAAAACTGGTCAAGTCGGTGATCTTCCATACATATATGTTGGTCATTGTCATTTAAGAACTTCTATTCCATATATCCTTACCAATCTGAAGAAAATGTCACAATACAGAGGACATACTATTCCTAACTTCTAGATTCAACATACAAAAAAACATACACCAAAATGCACCAGATCACACACCAAAAAAGCAATAAATGTGTGCAAGACAACAAAAAGATGGACTTCTTTTTCTAAATCTGCATTTCCCCCATTAACAAATTAAATAAGCAAGCCTGAAACAAACAAGAAGACAGAGGGCTGGCATTGCTCTCATAGATATCTATGCAATTGTGGCAAAATATTCTATCAAAAGCAGATAATAGATACATTTCTCTGTTTCATTACAAATTAGGCCTACAATTATAGGTTAGTGTTCCATCCATGTGGTAGAAGGGTTAGTTCCTCATCAACTCCATGTTATGATACTGATCATAAACGGGATAACCAGGTGGTAACTCTATGTTGATTCCATAATTTTTATTATATATTCATGATTGTGTGATGACAACCTAGAATTAAGAGGCTAACATGCACAGCTCTGCAGGTAAATCTCCAGAGATTTGATATCTTCAAAGAATAAATCTCAACTTCTTCATGCTATGATTTTGAAATCGGAGTTCTAGAAGAAGGACCAGTTCCTAAACTTGTTATATTAAACCAGGTAATATTAAAACTGTATGCAAGGCTTTAGTTCCTAGATGCTATCACAAAAGCCACTTGCAACCACAGCCTCACTATGACAGCTACATTAGAGAAAACCTAGAGTAGTACATGCATACTTACCTCGTTATTACCTAACGTAAGCTCCTGTAATGGACGTGTTGATGGTGAATACAAACTGCACCAAACTTCTGACAACATCTTCTTAATTCTGACAATTACTTATCAAGAATAACATCCCTGTACAACACCAATCCCCCCATCAGTTGATTGTTTAGGGAAGGTTTTGTTGTTTTTGAGACAGATCAGTTCTGGGGGACTCATGTTGATGGGTGGAACTCAAGTTATGTTTTCAGTTGTAATGAACATGACCTAAACTGACATCTTAACATCAAGACTGATACAAAATTTAAGTATTCATTTAGAAGAGTGTGTGAAGTTTGAGTTTGTTTAGTCCAAAGGGTTTCAAGTGATTGAGTGAGAACTTATTTTCTAATTAAAGTAACAGTGATGTTTACCAAAGAATATTTTAAGTGAAAAACCACAATTGAAATATATCCAGAGCTGACATCTTAAAAGAAATGTATGGACAATAATGTTTTACAAACATTATGTCTGAGTATCTGCTTGGAAATAGAATCCAATCATTTAGTAAAATGACGGAAAGTACAACTATTCATGTGCTCACCATATTGTGTAATTTATCACTCATTTGTAACTCTGATTTTTCAGTCTCAAGTTTTATATATCTAATAGATTTTTAACAGTATATTTCTGTTTTTCATGTCATCAATTCCTCAGTAATTGATCCAAGTCTGCCATTTTGTTGTCAGTGTATACAACTTGGCTTAATCCAACCAATCTCAAAGTATTTTGTTGTTTTAATTAATGAATACGCTTGAAAGACATGAACAATATCAACATAATTTTGTGTTTAATACTTTTTATCTGTTAGATAAACATTTTGTCAGCTAATTCCTACATACCGCTCGCAAGTTACACAAACATGCTTCATGAGGTTTCAAGACATCACAAAGGAAACAGCATGTTTTTGTAACATTTCAAGATGCATGAGTTTGCAAAAAGAGTTAATGAAAAACGGTATGATTTAATAGACATCTTAACTTGTATCAACAACATGATAATTTAGATATTGAATTTATCAATTTTGTTAAATTCAGACATTTAGTATCTTTAAACCTCTTAGGACTCCCTGTGAGCATATGTCTACATTTTTCTGTTACAGCAAAAGATGGACCTTCTACGATTTGGTTGTGGTATGTGATGTGATTAGTGACAAGACAAGTGGTTCACTAGAGAACAAACACAATAACTACACACTGTTTTACTTTATAATATATTCGTGCAATCAGTGTTCTGCATAACTTTGTCATTTCAACAACACTGAATGCATTTGTCAACAAAAAATAATTCCTTCGTGCTAAAAATAACCATGAATTGAAACAGTTTTACCAGTGATATTTACCTGTACAAGATATGAACTCTGCATCGATGATGCAAACTGAAAGGTGCCACCAGGATTGTCGTTTTCTAGGATGATGATTTTGACCTGAGATGCGGTGTCCTTGAGACGTTGTGTATCAGATGGGGTCACAGATGTCAAGGTGACAGTTACCTCCTCCTCCAGCTCTGGTTCATCGTCTGGCATTATAGGTATGATCAATGTCACATCGGACTTCCCTGGAAAAGGAAAGCAATGTAAATACTGTGATTTGTACCATTATGTACAATGTGGAGTGTGTTCTGTTTAATAAATACAGCAAAGTATAATGTGTTAAAATGTTCACAATAAATGAAAAGTGGTGAATGTTTTCTGATGATTTCACAAGACACACAAGTGAACAGCAGATTTTAATACACTGATAGAGTTAGAGAAATTAGAGCCAAACAATGAATTAGACTGCATCATACCGCTGTTTTATCCTCATACTTACATATCAATAGGGAATTTTTGCATGAGTTCCAATTTCATCGTTTTATAATACCTCTGACGAGGTAAAACAAAAAAGTGAGTTTAATCAATCTCATATGAAATGAAAGAAATGTAAATCTATGTATACCACACAACTTAAATATTTTGCAAACAATCGTGAAAAAGAAAAAATTTATCAGACTGATACGACAATATCTCAAACTTTGATGACGTCACAAAATAGATAACACCAGGAAGTTATGACATCTTAACAAAAACAACTTCCAGTCAATCGCCAGTAGGTGTTAATGCACATGTGATAAATAACAAATTTGATGCAATGGGTGTAATTACATTGATGACAGGGTACTGATGAGATAGAATCTTATAGATGATTTTATAATTAACAAACCCCTTTCCATGATGACAGTCCCTGAGGTTGGTCCGGTGTCTGAAGCTGTCACTGAGGCTGAGCCAGACAACATCCAGCTAATCACTGCTTCACCACTTGTTCCCTCTCTTGTCAACTGAAGCAACACCTGCTCCAAACAAGAAACCAGTCAAAATTTTCAATTTACACAAAAAAGAACATAGCAAAACTTCTAACATATAGAATGATATCACATGTACAGTAATAAAATAGTATTTATATTGAAGACAATTTGTCATGGTTTTACCTCAGATAACTGTGATAATGATACATGATCAATGATACATTTGAAACTACTTAACTATAAGTAGGCAGAAGTGATTTCTAGTTATTTCCACACAACAATTTGACTATTGTGTCAGAATTACAATATAAATTCAGGATCGCATACCTACATTTAAACTTGTCCAAAGACAATGGTATGTTATATATCTAATACAGAGTATTCAGTCTGCAATAGATAGGTGGTTAATCCCAATTTCTCAATTTATTGTATGGCTCTTCTAGAAAGTAGAAAATGGACAAAAGAGAAAAGCTACACTGTCCACTACTACAGGTCTGTAAATCTAATGACAAAGTTGTTGGATCAAATTAAAGACAAGACTTATTCATTTTCACACTCTACTGATCTCACCTGATAAGGTGTTGTGTCTGGTTCAGTGATGATTGCCGTTGCTGTGTTTTGGAACCCGATTTCTCCGTTAGCCTCATTAATAGTTACTGGTATACTCAATTCCGTTCTCGACCCAAACACGGGGCTGTTGTATGCTCCAAGGCTAGGGACTATATGAAGAAGAAATTTCTCACAAGTCTAAACATTACAGTTAAACATACCACTTTTATTTGGTTTTACGATATGTGGAACATTACACATTCTTCCTATATTAGTATTAACAATCAGAATACAAAACAGTTGTATTAATTGGGAGGCTGATAATAATACAAAAATATTATAACATTATGTTATGCCTTGTCACAACCTGGACAAGATTATTTTTGATATCTCAGAATTAAATGAAGCATGTTCAATCACAAAGTACAAACCCGACTGCAGTTCTATTCCCCTCAATCTGGCAACAAACACACCACCGACCTGGAGAAAAGCCGAGGAAAGGAGAGGCACTTGTACAATACGATTACCCTGGCCCACAGCAAACTCTACTGTGTAGTCAGTCTTCTCAAGGACAGCTGAAAGTATAAAACCAGCTACAGAGTTCTAGAGGAAATTTATCTTCATGAAGACATGTAAATCAATCTTAAAGAAACAAGATTGCATCTGTATACAGACTTTGCTCAAAATCAGATTTATGCTGGAGATATCAATAGACTACATTTGATAAGGAAGCGCTATATATGGTACTAATGGTGATTTTGTAAGGAAACTATATACTTACCCATAGTATTACCAGGTATTCCTGTATAGGTAACAGTAATGTTGATGATTAGATTTCCCTGGTTAAGCCCTATCCTACTCAGCATCAGCTGTAAATGACGCGGACTCGTAGTCTAGAGAGAAAAAAAAAAGATATAGAAAAGAATAATCTAACTGATAAAAACAAGATCCTGTAAGAACACTCTTACTCATTTTAAAAGAATATACATTTTCTGAATTCACACAAGAATCTGCGTCTAAGAACATCATAAAATACAGAAGAAGAAATAGAAAAAGATGGTAACACATTCATTGGTATGCCCTTGCTCCCTTTTGAAATACAGTTGAAAGAATGTCTAACTGAAGAAATAGAGCTTAAACTTAAAACCAGGATGCTGCTGTGAATATTTACATGTCATGTCTGAACTTAACAATGAATGTTTATTGTGTCACCATAGACTAGATTAGGTATTCAAAATGAATTCTGTTTGTCATGGAATTTACAATCTTGCTAACTGCAAATGCATTTACCTTTAATCTAATAAATTTTAATTGATAAATTTTCATTACATATCTTTCTTGGTATGCAGTCTTTTTACATGAAAATTTCGATAAAAGACTGGTAACGGATGATGAGATTTTAGTTAGTAACAACTTCCTGTGTAATATGTAAATCAAATGATAAACTAATTATATAGCACTATTCCTTATCACACTAATACAATACATACAATGATTATTTTCTGGTCCGACTCTTGTCCAAATTCCACTGTGCCATAATAGTTGTCACTGTCCTCTACGACCAGGACACCGTATGTGATGCCTTCTACACTGGCCCCGCCTGAGACACTGCCAGTTATGAGGTGGACCACAAACCTTTCCGTTGGTTCTGCAATGGAGTCCTGGTTCACAGTAATGTTAATATCCTGTTGTATTATGCCCTCGGGGAATACTAACACCCCATCACTTGGAGTTATGTCCCCCTTCACATCTCCAGTCTCACTGTCATTTCTATATACTTCCCACCGAACTGTTACTGTACCAAATGTTCCAGCCGTTCGCAAAACATAGTACACGGCACTGGTTACAAAACCGTCTTCATTGACTTTCACAAGAGGAGGACTTAGAGTGTCTAGTGAGAAGAATGAGAGGATGCCATTGTGTTCATCATTGGCATTAATAATGACCCTTAACTTGGAAGGAGCCATCAGTACTACATCACCAACAGGTGTTTCTAGTGTGACATCAAAACTCTCTTCCATCTCCGGATCACCATCATCCAGTATGGTTATAGTGATAGTACCTTCAACATCTCCAATCCCAAATACCACCTGACCATTCCTCCCTTGAAAGTCTTGTTCGGACACAGCAGTGTCTGAGGTTACTTTATAGTCTACAGATGCTATGGCACCAAATGACCCCACATTTGACCCGTCACTGTCAATTCCTCGGTAAACTTGGATTATTATGTTTTTATCTCCCTTTCCTTCCTCAACACGGATTTCATTCTGGAAAATATCATTACTTTAACATCAATTTCCTTGCTGAAAAATTCACATCAATATAGTATTTAATGGAAAACAACTCTGAATAGATTTTACAAGTTCTAATAGGCAGCTTTTTATTCCTCGTTAATATAACTGTAGTCATTGAAGTACTTATGATATTCTTTTTGAAATATTGAAAATTTTCAGAATAATGGACAGAAAATTGACATTTAATATTATTCTGACCTGTTTGAATCTGATTGGAGCATCATTAGCCATGATGATTACAGTCTGTGGGGTGGTTGACACACGTGCATTCTGGGAAGCTCCGGTAAAATTGACCTGGAATGTCTCATCATTTTCTGGAAACTAAATTCATACAAGCATGTAATAACATTAAGAAAAACAAAGAATTTAGGTGATGATTTACTGTACAACAGTCAAAATGTCATTCTAAATTCAGTTAAAGCATGAATATGATTAATCTTCATTTCATACAATGAAACATGTACCAATGAAATTTAAGTTGTTCACTATCCACTAGTTACTAATTACCATTCAGTATATACAGAACTGATCAAAATGAGCTGATGCTGTAGCATAACAAGTCTCAGCCAATCAAAATCCATGACAGTCATCTTAAAGTTTAGAAATCAAAATAGAATATTAAGTTACTTCTCGTCAATCAGATGTAATTGATGTTGATTCCAGGATCCAAAGTAGCAAATCTTACAAATTACCACTTAGATCATCCACTACATACCAGGTATGTAACACAAAAAATACTTATAAATTAAGTCACAGCCAATCAGAAGTGACTAAGGATTGGGATTCCAGATCAGGAATCTTTCACTATAGCCATCAGCCGACGGTAAATTATCACAAGATTAAAGAGTCCACATAGCAGGTAAATCAGTATAATTTTAACAGTATTTATTCAGTTCTAGAAAGAGTAAACCGGTGTCCTATGTACTTGACCTTGACACAATTTATGGGGATGACCAGGAGTTGGAACGACTAGCTACCTACAGTTTAAATTTTCTTTGCCTTTCCTTACTGTGAATTTAAAGCAATATCTTGAGAGTTTATGCAAATTAAGAAATTGTATAACTAGTGTTATCACAAAGTGAATTTTCTAAAAAAAGAAAAATGTTATTTACATCTGGCCCCAGTTATTCAAAACCTAATTAAAGATATCAGTGGTTATTGAAGATTTTGAAAACACAAATATAGAAAAACTAGAAAATGTCTGTAAGACATTTGAGCAACCAGGGTCTGGAATCTGCTTTAACAACCAGAAACTAACATGTGGAAAGATGGGCTGAAGAAATGCTGGGTTTATACCTTTAACTATCAATTCTGTTCAGACTTTCCCATTTCTATTATAGATTTTGTTGATCAAATTTTCTTAAGGAAAACATATTTGAACAAATTAAGAAATAATTTTGAAAAAGTTAAAAAGATATTTTGTATTAAACATGAGAATATGAAAAATACTTACATTATCTGGCATTATGCTGAGTACTATGTATTTTTTTATCTCCCCATCCTGAAACAAGATAGTGCCAGACCTTGGGATGATATCCTGACCAGCCTGGGCATTAATGTCAGAACTATCAACCTGTAAAAATAAAGAGTGTTAAAATATAATCAATCACAATTCATAACTGATTCTGTCAACATTCACAAAATTTTTTTTTCTGATACAACATTCAGTAAAATATCCTCATCAACGTTTTGTCAGGAACACAATTTCCTATAATTGTCATTCATCACTACTTAAAATTCGTGGTACAGGGTACATGTATTTAACCAACTACTTTCACATGTAATTTTCACAAATTTAGCTTATAAACAAATTGACCAAACTTTAATGCTGTGGATTAACACAAGGATGATTAACAATGGTAACAGTATAATAAAGTCTGTTTCTAAAAAGTTAATTAGCATGAACTTGTGATGTGAAAGTAAGAAACAAGGAAAGAAAGCTGGTTAGCAGTAAAAACAGAAAGAACGCACTCTTTAGGGTGTTCTTCAAACCAAATAAGAAACTATTAGGACGAAGGGAAGCCATTATTATGCTGATGATCACAGATGGACAGGGGAAAGGGAGGTTGATGCACAAGACTGTTACTAAGAAGACCAGGCTTTCTCCATTTGACATGAAAGGGTATGTCTCTGACTAGGGTATGACAATGAAATCTCACCCTGGTAAAAGTATGACCACACCTGTCTTGGGTTAGAACACACCTGTCCAGGGTTAGAGAAATTTATTTTATTTTTTGCTGTCAACAAAGGGTAATATGTCATATTTACATTTTTTGTGTTTTTTTTCTCAATATATCCGCATATAAGATTTCTTTCTGTTTCTACCATAAATCAAGATGTACTCAAATAAAAATGAAATGTAGTCCTTACTGAGTAAGACACTGTGATTTGTCCGTGGGAGCCCTGAGATCTGCCTACACCCAAATATATCTCCGTCATGTCTGATATATCTTCTGTTACCAACACTGGTGAGACCTGTAAAACAAAACACATAATGACAAAGAAAATTGAATCAAGTCTCAATCACGATCACGATTTCTCATAAGATATTTTCAGGCAATGTCAACCGTCAGGGTTTTCAAACATAGATTAGGAACACTCAGTTTAATTCTTTTAAAAACATGTGGATTTAGAACAAAAAAGCCCATACATTCATTTTCTTCTTTAATGATTAAATAAAGAATTATTTTTTCTATTATTCATTTTCTTCTGTGATATGATGAAACCAGAAGTCTGTGAGCTACTCATATTCAACTTCCAAGAAAACCATTTTCCACTATAAATATCAAGATGGAAAACCTTTTCCAATAACAATAACCCTGTCTCCCATTCATATCATGTCTCTATATTTGGAATGTAACAATTTAAACTAAATTCTATTAAAATCAAAACTTACACTCAAAGTGAAAGACTTATAAAGGGATCCAGTATCAATTGAAATGAATCAACATGGTCCAATGCCAAAACATTCAGTCATATAACCAAATTTCAAAAACATCAGTCAAAACAATGAGGAAAGTTTTCAGAAAAAAATCTTAGCTTCAAAATAAAATCTTGCCTGAATGAAGAACTTCTACTGAAGAATATGAAAGAAGTGAAGCTATCACAACACTGTAAACTTACATCAAGGAAGCTAAAAGCTCCATAAGCATCATCGTTAGCAGCAATGGTAATGGCAGCCTTGCTTGGCTCTACCACTGTCACCCCTGAGTTGACCACGGAAAGCTGCAAGGTGAAGGTCTCCTCCACTTCTGGGACTGTGTCATTGTTTACAGTAAAGACAACAGAAATGGTGTCTGGCCCCAAAGGATTAAACGAGCCCACATGACTGCTACCGATGAAATCAAGGTCTGTATCAAGCGGGGAGGATACCTGTGGTGGAAACAAATATTCCAAAAATAAAAATTGTAGCATCTCATAAAGCCACAAATAATTCTCTTTGTATTTTCCTTTTCTCAACCAGTTAATAGGAAATGATCATATCAGGAAATGATCAGAAATGTCATATTATAAAACAATTTTCAACATTTTTATGGTAAACATAACCATCATATTCACTAGTAAATAGGCTGATAATTGTACGTCATCTCTTCTGTGTTGATACAAGAAATCTAATATTATCACTAGCAATAATATGCATTTAACTTTTCAAGTGATGAGATGTTTCAAAATTTGTCCTTCTTTTTTCTTAGTCCAAAAGCAAACAAATCGAGGGTATAAGTTTAAGGAGCAGGTTTTTTCACCATATTTTTCCTGTGTACATACACACTACTTGTTTTCCTCAATCCCTATCTTATTACACTTTGGATTTTTTTTTGCATTTAAAATGTTACAAAAAAAAAAAACTTAATTGTTTCCTGAAAATATTTCACCTAAATGACAGAATTTATCACTATTTTTCACTTGTACTTTGCACTTTTGAAAGCATTATTAAAGTTCTCATCATGTGAAACCTTAAGCTTACTAAACTAATTATAACTAAAAATAATGAGTAAAAATGGTTAAACCTCCGATCAGTTCAAATAGACGAGTAGTTCGAACATGTGATTTTTTCCATAAAAACAGTAATTTTCTGTCTAATGATAATTGGACCCTTTCTAGTTTGTTCCACTTACATTTTGAATTGTTTCGAACATATCGCGGACCACACATCTTACTATTGATAATGTCATTTGCATTGCAATAATCGTACCATGTGGTCACTATTCACATGGACATTAAACACTGTAGGTAGCAGATTGATAGCATCAGATTATACATATACATGTCACTTAATTAGCATTGATGTTTAGCGTGATTTATTTCACATCTTGCTGTAACATTGTTTGTACACCAGCTGACACAACTTGAGTCCCCAACTCTGTATTACAAGTGATCACTAAACATTTATGGACCATGGGATATTGACATATATTTTGTCATAGAACAACATTATTTCACTTTACATTTTGATAAGACAATCATGTCAAGACTGCCCCAATAATTGTAAGATTTATAAAGATTTTAACAAACATTAATCCATTGTCATATTAAGTCTCAATCCACGCTCAGCCTACCAATATGTCAACACTTATTATAATACATACGCAGAAACGTACTTTATCTGAGCTGCTTTCTTCGTCACAAAGTTATGAAGATCAAAATGAAACTTGTGATTTCTTAGCAGTCGATTAACATGTATTGCGACACAGTTAATGTTTCAAAAGATAATAATTTAGTAGTTTTCTGCCCTGCTAGGACACTTAAAGACAAGTCGTCGTTATTTTGGGCGATGTCGACCCTGATAGTTTGAACTCTAATTTATTTTCATGAGCTTATTTTCATATAATTTGAACAGGTTCAAAAACATTTAATCAATTTTGTTCAAACTAACCGAAGGTTTACCGTATCCAGAGCATATACTACAGTGTACTGTGTCAATATACTTACAGCAACTATGACATAGAAGGTTGATGCAAAGTCCCCTGTTTTCTTTACACGGATAGCAAACTGTTGGCCCTCCTGTACCATCATGGCAGTGTCCAGCAGACTAACTGTTGTCTGACTTATCACCATGGGAACAATCATGCTGAACACTACACACAGGGTTACACAGACCATTATGGTCCCTCAAGGTAGATAACCCTGTAAAACACACAAAAGAACAATGAATAACAGTGAATCATGTACATTAATAGGGAACATTACTCATTCTCATGCATTTGATAAGTAACAATTTTTGACAGTGAAATATGTATCTATAGATAATATTGGTGACCTTGATTTGGATAATGTAAAAATTTCACTGGTTACAGAACACGTGGATCAGTATGACAATTTCACTGGTTACAGAACATGTGGATCAGTATGACAATTTCACTGGTTACAGAACACGAGGATCAGTTTGACAATCTCACTGGTTACAGAACAAGAGGATCAGTATGACAATTTCACTGGTTACAGAACATGTGTATCAGTATGACAATTTCACTGGTTACAGAACACGTGGATCAGTATGACAATTTCACTGGTTACAGAACATGTGGATCAGTATGATATTCAGCCACAATTTCACTGGTTACAGAACATGTGGATCAGTTTGATATTCAGCCACAATTTCACTGGTTACAGAACATGTGGATCAGTTTGATATTCAGCCACAATTTCACTGGTTACAGAACATGTGGATCAGTATGACAATTCCACTGGTTACAGAACACGTGGATCAGTATGACAATTTCACTGGTTACAGAACACGTGGATCAGTATGATATTTACAGAACAGACAATTTCATTGGTTACAGAACATGTGGATCAGTATGATATTCAGCCACAATTTCACTGGTTACAGAACACGTGGATCAGTATGACAATTTCACTGGTTACAGAACATGTGGATCAGTATGATATTCAGTCACAATTTCACTGGTTACAGAACACGTGGATCAGTATGACAATTTCACTGGTTACAGAACATGTGGATCAGTATGACAATTCCACTGGTTACAGAACACGTGGATCAGTATGACAATTTCACTGGTTACAGAACATGTGGATCAGTATGACAATTCCACTGGTTACAGAACATGTGGATCAGTATGACAATTCCACTGGTTACAGAACACGTGGATCAGTATGACAATTCCACTGGTTACAGAACACGTGGATCAGTATGATATTCAGTTACAAAAAATGCAAAAGTTTGACTTAAATCTATAACATGACACATGTATTGAATTTACAACAAATATTTAATATTCAGATTAAACACAGCTGTATCCATAAGTTAATAAGTACTCTCCAAACAAATGAATCTGTTCTACATTTTGACATTCCAATACTTAACTTTTTTATTTGATCTCATGCCTGACTCATATTTATCTGTGACAGATGAGCTAGCTTCTGTACATTCCTCAAGATATCTCCAGTAAATGTTACAAACTACTGTGATTTTTGGGACTCAAATTAGTTGAGTCCTGGACTCATATTTTTCTTTGGGACTCACTAAAATTTTTAAAACCCAACAGAGATATGTCTTTGTAACTGGAATCATAATTGTTTCTTAAATGGCGCTCTCAACAGAACAAAACCCTACAAAAATTACTGAGACTGGAAAACATCACCGCTGAAGTGTGTGATATCATGTCATGTCTCAGATATAATTCAGGAATGATGTACATGATAACTTTCCCACTATGTCTTAGTTGATAAACATCCTGATATATGGACCAGTGTTATTGGTATGACCATGACACCTTAAAAGATACAGCAGCATCCTAGACTGAATCAAAATATATAAATTAGGCCTCCGAGATGTTCTCCATTAACATTGACCTTGCTACAACTGACAGCAGGTGTCAATGAAGACATACAGATAAGGAAACACCTAAATCTCAATATATGACCTCACACACAATATTGACAGTATCATTCACCTGTACAATACTGGATAACATGATTAATATTCATATTAATTATTCTTTCAAGACTTCTTACAGATTCCAAACTTATTCTAGATACATGATTCTGACAGCAGCATGGCAAGAAACTGATCATATTTTCTGGAACAGCAACAGATGGAGTCAATATGTTTCAAAGCTGATGGACTGTGACATATGCTACAGGATGTAAACTCAAATATATGTGCTTCTGTAATATGTGAGAGTACATGACTTCTTACTACGTTTACTTGTGAAAAATCCCTTATAGTCTGATTCGTAATTAATGCCTGGGCTCAATTGGGTGTTTGAAAAGTTTTTAGTTCATCTGGGGGTGGGTCTATTACAGGTACTTAAGTACAACACATATATCATTGCTTTGTACCCAATATACATCTAATTGTCAGGGGTGGGCCTATTACAGGAACATACAACACATGTATTATTGGTTTGTACCCAACATACATCTAACTTAAATAGTCAGGGGTGGACCTATTACAGGAGCTTACAACACATGTATCATTGGTTTGTACCAAACATACATCTAACTTAAATAGTCAGGGGTGGGCCTATTACAGGAGCTTACAACACATGTATCATTGGTTTGTACCAAACATACATCTAACTTAAATAGTCAGGGGTGGGCCTATTACAGGAACATATGTCTTAACTTTTGTTTGTTGTCTTAACTTTTGTTTGTTATATTAACTACTTTTGTTCTGTGTCTTAACTTGTGTTTGTTATATTAACTACTGTTGTTCGATGTCTTAACTTTTGTTTGTTATATTAACTACTTTTGTTCTGTGTCTTAACTTGTGTTTGTTATATTAACTACTTTTGTTCTATGTCTTAACTTGTGTTTGTTATATTAACTACTTTTGTTCTATGTCTTAACTTTTGTTTGTTATATTAACAACTTTTGTTCTTTGTCTTAACTTGTGTTTGTTATATTAACTACTTTTGTTCTTTGTCTTAACTTGTGTTTGTTATATTAACTACTTTTGTTCTGTGTCTTAACTTGTGTTTGTTATATTAACTACTTTTGTTCTATGTCTTAACTTGTGTTTGTTATATTAACTACTTTTGTTCTATGTCTTAACTTTTGTTTGTTATATTAACAACTTTTGTTCTATGTCTTAACTTGTGTTTGTTATATTAACAACTTTTGTTTGATGTCTTAACTTTTGTTTGTTATATTAACTACTTTTGTTCTTTGTCTTAACTTTTGTTTGTTATATTAACAACTTTTGTTCTATATCTTTGCTTTATTTTTTATCATAATGTTACAAGTCTAAAGACCTTTTTGAAACTGTTGAGATTTCTAAAATTCTAGGTTATCTGAAAGTTGTTGGTCTATATCAAAGACTATGACTTACCATTTAAATCTTTTGTGATAATGTAACCATTTAAAATTTCTAGCATTTGTCTTTTAGTTTGTTTGATGTTATTTCCATTTTGGATTCCTGTGTGTTTCATCGTTTGATGGACCAACTGACCTTTTATGTGTTGATGGGCCGTTAAAACTGTAATAATAATGATAATAACAACTGCTTGTTGTATAAGCTTTTGTTCTAAGTACACTTGAAAGTCATGTCAGGGATAAAATGACTGACTATGTAATTATTTTCTTGTTATTATACATAAAATGATTTATAAGACTGATCCATCAATACTCTAACTATAAATAAGAATATTGTAAGGAACTTACGAAACACTGGCTTTCTGTAAATCTATAGTAATCCTATATTTTCTTTGTAGTTCATATCATCAATAAATGATGATTACCTAGATAAAGCAATATGAATCCTCCCTCTACCCACTACCGTGAATCATCAATCACCACATTGTGAACAGACACCATCTGGTACACTAACCAAGCATTGTATATCCCAGTACCTCATGCCGAGTCAATAAATAATCTATGAATAATGAAGAAGGGTGTTGGCGCTTAAATGCTGTTTGTATACAGGGTGTTGGCCTCACCTCACCTGAGAGTAATGGCTGCACTTCTCATGTGTGTAATGGCCAGGCACTCCTGTATCTTCACAGGTTTTTTTTAACCCTCACCTTACCTGTATATAATGACCAGGTGCTATTATATTCGCTACAGGAATTTGGTCTTGTCTTACTTGCAGAAAATGTTTCAATGAAGGTGATGGCCACACCTCACTGGGTAGTGTCCAGGTAGTATTGTGTATACAAGTTGTTGCCCTGACCTCACCTGTGTGTAACCTATGCATCCAGGTACTGCTGTGTGTATACAGGGTGTAGACAACACTTCACCTGTGTGTAATTTTCAGGTACTGCTGTGTGTATACAGAGTATTCACCACACCTCACCTGTGTGTAATTGTCAGGTACTGCTGTTTGTGTACACAGTATTCACCTAACCTCACTTGTGTGTAATTTTCAGGTACCTCTGTGTATACTGGGTTCACCACACTTCACCTGTGTGTAATTGTCAGGTACCTCTGTGTATACTGGGATCACCACACTTCACCTGTGTGTAATTTTCAGGCACTGCTGGTGTGTATACAGAGTGTTCACCATACCTCACCTGTGTGTAATTTTCAGGTACTGGTTTGTATGCAGAATGTTTACCATACCTCATCTTTGTGTAATTGTCAGGTACAGCTGGTTTATATACAGAGTGTTCATCACACCTCATTTCAATATATATAAAGTCAGTTTTGCTACATTCCTCCCTCCTTTTTTTGACCTCAAAGACACAACTATTTACGACCCAGATTCCAATATCCCCTTTTCAAGCATTACTCTACTTGAAACAAGTGTTGGTCACAGGCACAAGTTTGTAACAGGAACAGAAAAATGCATGGCAAAATCAGGATTTGAACCCAGGACCCTTCAAACTCTAGACAGACACTCTATTAATCAAGTTACCAGGTTGTTGGTGATCCACCCAGTCCAGTTCTGCTACCGTACCATACCTAGTGAACATGAATGTCCTCCATTCTCTTCTGTCTGAAGAAGCCGAAGAAGGCAGAGAGGCCTAGATGTAAGTTTGGCATACCATGTATTTTTTTTTTAAACTGTTTCATGTTTTCACTATTTCCTTATAACAATTAAGTATCATAACAATCTTTTAAGACAAGTTTATATTCTACCTGTTAATTAAGAAAATATTATTTCC